GGTTTTAGATGAAAAAGTACATGGGGGCATTTTAGGAGGTTTACCATTTTCAAAATATTCAATGAGTCTCATGTATGTTGGTTGTGTGTTTTTCTATTTAACAATTAAAAGAAATTAAAGCTCGTATAATGCACGCAGTCTTCCATTTACAGTCATCAAAGTGCGAGTTGGTCCTTTTGAAATCCCATTTCAATTGTGAAAAGAGTACATGCATATTTTTAATAGGTTGACACGGCTTTACAAAATTGTCATGATTTGATGGAGTGTATACTATCCCTAAGTCATTTATGTGTATTATATGTTCCGACTTAACAAAAAAAAATTTTTTTAAAAAATGTTCAACGAGTTATGATATTTCATTCCTTCATCACTCAAAAAGGAATGAAGAAAGCTTCTTTAAAACTATATACAAACTACAGAGGCTGTTTTGTGTCCTCAATGAAAACAAGCAATTGATTATTTACATGAGTATTAGGTATATCATAATATTCCTCAGGACAACTAATAATTAAAAAAATCAAATATTTAAAATCAAATTAGATATTCAAAAAGGTAACTCGAGTAATAACACACATAATTCATATGCAAAATAGGTATCTTGCACCATCTGCTTCACCCAAAAATTCTAATCAAGTTCATATGCCCACAAACAAACTAATTAAGCGTTCTCCAGATTTTGGTTAGAGTATATGATTTCTGCTTCTGTTGATGCCCTTCGACACCGAGTAATGTCTTTCAGAATACTTACTTCTTCATTGTTGTTCATATTATCACAAGGGTCAATATACATTCTCTCTAACAAGGGTCACTTGGCTAGCAGAAGCTTCACAAACTCCATCTCCCGCTCTGTTCCTCCAAAAGATGTCATCCGTACTACCTGAAGTTGATGCAGTAAGAAATTTGAATGCTTTTGCACTTCCAAGAATTCTTCAACATCATCCATGCTGTCTGTAATTTGCCCATGAAAAACCTGAAAGAATAACAAACCATCTTACTTCACTTCTGAATTACTAAATCCATCTAACTTCTAAAACATACAAAAAATAATGTAATTATGAACTGACAGTAATCTCAAGTTTCCGCAAGAAAGGAGAACTTCTAATCAAGCAGAGAGCACATGAAACCTCAGCCAACTCGTCGAAACATATAATCAAGGAGTACAAGAGTTTTTAGGCTATTAAAAGAAGTAGGAAGATTGTCTGGTACATTCCCTGCAGCCATAATCTTCAAGCAAACATCCAAAGAAAGATTAGAAAATACATTAGGAAAGTACTTAAAAGAAACACTATTGAATACTTCACTATATATGCAAAAGTAAGTAACCATTTAAGTAATCTTACCTCCAAAAGATAATAATCAATAAAGAGATATTCTAAACGAGGTACACAACTGAAAACCTCAACCATATCGATTCCATACCCTTCCTTCACGTCTGGAACATTTCCATCCCCTTCAATCGAAGCTTTTATCAGTAGTGGAGTATCTATGAAACGGATAGAAGTGAATAGCAGACTGATGGTTAAGACTTTGAGATTAGGAGCTTACATGTCCAGGCAATCAAAATTCTGGCAGCTTTGTGGTTCTAATTCTTCCAATAATGGGCATTTCAATATCAAATTTTGAACAGCATTGTTGTCGAAGTAAACATTTTAAAAATAGCACTGGTGAGCCTGTTAAATCCATTGAATGCGACAGGAAGCTTGAATAAACAAGAAGACACATGCACATGCCTCAGTTCTGTACATGAAAAAAGGCATGAAGGCATTTTATGAGGTTCACCATTTTTAATACAAAGGGTTAGTTCCTGGACGCCATTCCTTGACAGGAAATGTATCGTATGGTCAATCTGAGGACAGTTTTTCAGTCTAGAAAGGGAGAGAATGAATTTTGTTACAGGGCATCGACGAAGGAGTAGAACTTGATATATAATCACGAAAAGCTCATTCCTTGTTGCAGGTTTTGCTTTTATATGATTCTGGAAAGTATTGTCGAATATAAGTGGAATATTTTCCCAGTTATGCCTCCATTTCTTTGACAATACACTTGTTCTTACTGCCTCTTGCAATGGCAAATGTGCAAGGATGTTTTTTATGACATTTTTGGTGAGGTTACTGATTATATCAGCAGTTAAAATAACAGTATCCATCCTTCTCAAAATGATTACCTCTGAAATCACCAGAAAAGGATTTACAGAATTCAACAGAAGGTAAGCATTGATTAAATTCAAGTATACAGAATTTTGCAAAAGAGAAACAAGCAAGAGAAAGAAATCTGTACCTGGAATTGTGAATTATAAAGAAGTAATTCTGACTTCTCAAGTAAGCTGCTTTTTCTCTGTCAATTTGAAGATTTTTTCACCACTCCTTTTGTTATTTAAAAAGTTAAGAAAACATTGATTTTGTTTTCAAATTACGTTTGTCCTTTGGGAATTGGAGTGCTTTTATAATTTCATTTATCTTTATGGAAAAAGAAAAAAATTATGTTTCCAAGGAAAACTTTTCATTTCCGTCCAGTTGGAAAATGACCATATCCAACAACAAAACTGTAGTTTGAAGTTTGAAAGATGGAAAAGTTGTTAGTACGAGAGAGAGAGAGAGAGAGAGAGACTCAATTCTTCCATATGATGTGTCATGAAAATGTTCAATTCTTCCATATATATTCTTCCATATATATATATATATATATTACATAGACATGTCACACTATAGTAATTTTTTTTTATATACAAAAAGTTTCTATTTTAGTTGTTTCTATATAAAAAATTTTATCTAATTTTCATTTGACCTTATTTTAGTCTTTTGTAAAATTTTTATTACGAGAAATTCTCAAGATAGTGGCAGACAAAAGTATAGACAAATATTTGATATGAAGAGAATATGTTTTTTACATCAATCTCCTTTGAAAAAAATATCCTCGTATAGGTGATATGAGCACTAATTTAAATAGAGTTTGAATAAAAAAAAACCACAAAATTTTTAAGTTGACCACGTTGAAAGAAATCATTACTGACTTCGCTTAAATATTTGAAAAATTACGCGATATTTAAAGTACATTTTAAATAACCAAATGCAGTTGGAAGGTTAAATGAATACAAATTTTTTATATATTTACACAATTTTTCCAAATAAAATACCAAAATACGAATTTCCATAGAACATAAACTTTTTGTATTCACTTCATTCCAAAATCCAACAAAGCATTTAAAACCCCATTGAAAATATATATATATATATTGAATTGAAAGCCTCATTGAAAATATATAACATTATTTAAGGTATGCATTGATATTAAATAAGAAATAAATGAAATAGTATGGGTAAATTAGAAAAAATGTCGAAAAAATAATTGTTATTTCCATTCCATAATACTTGTCAGGTTTGATAAAATAATTTGTTTCAAAATACTTATCACATTTATAGTTTCAATGAGTAATATTTTTTTTTCATGTTTATCCTTTATATATAATCAATAATTATTGCTTTAATTGTTCAAAAAAAATTACTCTCTTTTATTATTGCTATCTCTTTGTGTTTCCAAAATCTCTCCACCATTATAATTGGACAAAACATAAAAATTGAAGGTTTTAAAATTTAATTTGGTATTTGAATTTTAAATTAAGAGTAATATAATCAATTTATTCAATAATTTCTTATAACCTAGGCAAATTTAATGATTGTTTTAAGAGATGTTAAATTTCAAAAGTAAGAATATGGAATAGATAGTTAAACTTTGTTCCAAATGTGAGATGTATTAATGGTTATTACTTACAACTCTAGTTATTAATCTATTAATCTCCGACGACGGCGTCGCAACAGGATAGTTTTTTTATAATAGTAAATAGGATTGTGCATGGTTCTTGGGGATCCGAACAAACCGAGAAACTATAATGAATCAAACTGAAACTGAAAAAGAACTGAAATAGTAGGAATCGAACCGTACCGAACTAAATGTAATTTTATTATTTTGATTCTGGTTCTGGTTCTTATAAAGAACCGTCCTAGAACCGCATTGAAACTGTACCAAAATCAAACTGAATCAAATTGAACCGGATTGAAAGATCGATTTCTCTATATATTTTTTCTTTAATGTTTTAGTATATTATGTTATTTGTATAAGACCTTAAATTTTATTATTTGAAAATAAAATCTTTATTAGTTGATACTCTTTCATTAATAATATTTTTATTATTTATCCCGCATAAAAAATTAGTAGCTAATGATTCTCGTCATCTCTTATTGTATATATTGTTTTAACAATATCATAATTCATAAATGTTCATATAATATTATACTATATCTATAATTTAAATTAAAAGTGTTTTTTTAGATAATTTTAATCTTTAAAAAGTCTTAATTTAATAACAAATTTATTGTATGACAATAAAGGCACTATCACTTTATAAACTTCGTGGAACTTAATTTTTTTTTATTGACAATATAAATAAACCTTCATTATTCAATTGTTAGTTATGATTTGTTGATATTTGTAATGTTCATATCATTACTTTGGAGATTATTTAGAACTTGAAACATGATGGGAGCTTCTTTTTACAATGAAGAAAAATAAAATTTCATTATTTTTTTATGTATATAGTAAGTACGGTATGATTCTTTTTTTTTTTTAATTAGCATATATTCTATATTTTATTTTGAAATTAAAATATTTATATAAAGGAATCTTATAATGTGTTTTAAAAATATAATAATTTTTAATAGGACAACTGAACCGGAACTGGAAGTAGAACCGGAACTAGAATCAAAACCAAAGAACTAAAACCGAAAAGCTAAAGAATCATACTGAAATTTTAGTTCGGTTCGGTTCTTCGGTCCTGCTGTTCCAGTTTCGATTCCTAAAAGTGAAAAAACCAATTTTTTGGTTTGATTCCGGTTCTTCTTAAGAACCGTATCGGGAACGGATTTGCATACCAACTTCCAAACCGCGTTGGCTTTAACTTCCAATTTCAATCTCTTTATCCGCCCCCTTGCTCATGTGCACCTAAACTTAAGATCTAATAAAGGAAAAGGAAGTGATGGGAAATCTAGAGAGATGGGGAATTCAGAAATAAAGGAATTCTCGGTTGCGAAACTAATCTAACCGATTATATCCATATGAACCCGATAAAACATAATCGGATAGTAGATCGGGTTGACCTGATTATTGTTCAGCCACAAAGGGCAAACCTAAAACATATGATTTTTTTTTTTTCCGAAAGAACAGCCTTGTTGATCCACCGTCACCTTCCTTGCGGACTTCAATAAACATAAGTACCCCGATTTCAAGTGAGGATAAATACTGTGGACATATATAAATTGACAGGAAAGCTGGGAAGATTGTGAAATAAAATGAAATATGATCTCAGTCACTTGCAAACCGTAGCATCATTTTCTTGAGTTGCGGCTATGCCTGTATGTTCGGCAAAATATTGCATTGCTCATCTATGTCTCTCCAACCGTCGTTTTATCTCTACAAGTACAGCAGAGGCTGTTGTTTTACCATATTTAGAAGAATTCAAAAACCTTTGTTTTAGAGGACTCATAAAACAAGCATTTAACAGCTTCAAATCAGAGATATGGAGAGATCCGCATCTCTTTTCTTGCCTTCTCCAATCTTGCATTCCTCAAAAGTCACTACTTGTAGCGAAACAGCTCCATTCTTTAGTTATAACTTCTGGGTACAATAACGACAAGTTTGTAAGGAATCATCTTTTAAACCTGTATTCAAAGATTGGAGAATTGCAAACTGCTATTTCATTGTTTAACTCAATGCCAAAAAGAAATATAATGTCGTGTAACATCTTGATTAATGGGCATATACAGTTGGGGGATTTGGAGAGTGCTTGTAAGGTGTTTGATGAAATGCCTGAAAGAAATGTTGCTACTTGGAATGCAATGGTTGCTGGGTTGACTCAGTTTGAGTTCAATGAAGATGGGTTGGATTTGTTTCGGGTAATGTATGAATTGGGTTTTTCTCCTGATGAATTCACTATAGGCAGTGTTCTTAGGGGTTGTGCAGGTTTGAGATGTGTCCACGTTGGAAGGCAGGTTCATGCATATGTGATGAAACGTGGGTTTGATTCCAATTTGGTTGTTGGGAGCTCTTTGGCACATATGTACATGAAAAGTGGAAATTTGGGAGAAGGAGAGGAAGTTATCATATTTATGCCAAGTCGTAGTATTGTAGCTTGGAATACACTTATTTCAGGGAAGGCACAAAATGGGTATTCCGAGGAAGTTCTTGATCAGTACAACATGATGAGAATGGCAGGTTTTAGACCGGACAAAATAACTTTTGTAAGTGTCATTAGTTCATGTTCGGAATTGGCAACTCTTGGTCAAGGTCAACAGATTCATGCTGAAGCCATCAAAGCTGGTGCTAGTTCTGTCATTGCAGTTATTAGTTCATTGATCAGTATGTATTCAAGGTGTGGGTGTTTGGAAGATTCTGTAAAAGTTTTCTTGGAATACAAAAATGCTGATTCTGTATCGTGGAGCTCCATGATTGCTGCTTATGGATTCCATGGAAGAGGACAGGAAGCCATCGAGCTCTTTCAACAGATGGAGCAGCAGGAAGATTTGGAGGCAACTGACGTAACCTTCTTAAGTTTGCTTTACGCTTGTAGTCATTGTGGACTGAAGGAAAAAGGGATGGAATTTTTCAAATTGATGGAGAAAAAGTATGGATTGAAGCCTAGGCTGGAGCATTATACTTGTGTGGTTGACCTGCTCGGTAGGTCAGGGTGTTTGGAAGAAGCAGAAGCCATGATAAGATCAATGCCTGTGAAAGCGGATGCTATAATTTGGAAAACTCTTTTATCTGCATGTAAGCTTCACAAAAGGACAGACATGGCAATACGAGTTGCTAAAGAAGTTCTTAGGCTTAATCCTCAGGATTCAGCCGCATATGTGCTTCTAGCTAACACTCATGCTTCTGCCAAGAGTTGGCAGGTTGTTTCAGAGGTAAGGAAAGTGATGAGAGATAGGAATGTGAAAAAAGAACCTGGTATAAGTTGGGTGGAAGTAAAGAATCAGGTTCATCAGTTTCGCATGGCTGATAAACTCCATCATGCAATTGATTTATATTTGAAAGAGTTGATGGAAGAGATGAAATTGCATGGTTATGTACCTGATACCGGCTCTGTTTTGCATGATATGGATAATGAGGAGAAAGAATACAACTTGGTTCATCACAGTGAAAAATTGGCTATAGCTTTTGCTCTAATGAACACTCCGCCAGGTGTGCCGATAAGAATAATGAAGAACTTGCGCGTCTGCAGCGACTGTCATCTAGCTATCAAATTTATATCTGAGATTAAAAAGAGAGAAATTATTGTTCGTGATACTAGTAGATTTCACCATTTCAGAAATGGGAAATGTTCTTGTGGAGATTACTGGTAAGAGAAACCTAAAATGCTCTTACAGTTGAACACACTAAATTTGTATTTCTGTTTCAAAATGATAATTGATATTATTTCCATTTGGAATCGCTCCATCTTTGTTTAATAATGTCCATTGTATGGCTGCCCACCAGCAAAAGAAAGTAGCCAGTTATAAACTGTCACATTGTTTAACAGAATATAACATGAACAGCCAAGTACTCACCCGTTAATATTTCCAGAAGTAAACGCATGGAAAATATAAGATAGAATTAGAAAACAATTGGAGTAATACATTAAACAGGCCAAAGCATAAATATACCTTTCGGCCTAAATATACTCCTATACTTTTATAGAAAAAATCAAATTTTACGAGTAACCGAAGTTACAAATTTTACAAATACTATATTCACTTAATATGTGGTTAGTATAAATCTTAAAACAATAGTTTTCACATTTTTCAACTATTTAATTTAATTTTAAAAGTTTGAGTATTTAATAAAATCATTTTTGCATGTTGAAATATTTAATCAGTACAATTAATAAATTACAGTGTTTAATAGACCAAAATAAAAATTAAAAATATTACAAACTTTTTTACCTACCTACAAGTATAAGGGTTAAATCTTAAAAATCTCTTAACTCATTCAGCTGACAGTGGAAACTCATCTACTTCGCCAAGACTTTAATTTGTATCTGTTAGGACTTCTTACAACTTGCAACGTTTTTAAGATTCAGTTAATTAAGCAAAAAAAGAAAAAAGAGATTTAAGGTTAAATGTTTTGATACTAAAATTGCCCTCTCATCAAACTGCATGATGGGAACTAATTTTCTCGAACGTTGATTGTAATCTGTTGATTTTTACTCATTTGAAAACTCTTTATATATATAAAAGCTAACAAGGCTCCCATTAAAAAAGAAAAATTACCCTTCTTACTGGGAAGGCAATTTGCCTCCAACACCTACAAACAAAATAACTCAAGGATCATCCATTTGATTTTGGCCGTGCAGAAGGGTAACATAACAGAAAACTAATGGGACCCTAAAGAGAAAATATCCAAAATTCTGAAGGTCTAAAGAAAGAAACAAAAATGTAAATCTACTGTAACCGATTTTCGACTAGAAAATCCTCCTCAACAAACTGAATCCGATAACACCAATTGACATAATGAGAGCAGCTCTCGTGATTTCAGAATCCATGATCATGCTTCTCCTGCTTGTCCTTGCTTGTCGAGATCTCTCCCCTACACTGTCTCGAAGAAGATTACTTAAAGTATCTAATTGATGCATGACTTGACGTTGTCCCCGTGTAATGCTAGATATCTGTTTCACATATAAAGGTAAATAAGAAAATTGATATGCCAGACAATGAATACAAAATTAAAGCAGACCCTAACAATTGAATATCGAAGTTAAAATGTTCAATCACATGAGACTTCAAAACGATGTGATCAATCAACTTGGCTGATCATCGATGGGTAGGACTTTGGAATACCCAAATACTCAAATACCCTATACCCATATGGAATGTACAGTGTTGCAATTCAAATCCAGCTGTCTAACATCTAAACCTGATCCAGCATGCTTATGGGAACTTTATTCCCACATTTCAACGCAGAAAATGTACACCTTAGAGAACAATAGATAAATTGACAAAAATTAACAATAAGGGGAGAGGTTTGAAGGGACCAGTTTTGTTACCTCTTCAATGAAAGGTGACTCCTTAGCCAACTGGGAGAAAGATGAAGAATTAGGTAGTTTGGTTCCAGTTAAGGAACCATTTGTTAAACCGGAGATGAAGTAAGAAGTTGGAGCAGAGCCATTACACGCTTCAGCTTGCAGAGCCAAGTTTTGTTGGCTATGAGAATTTTTATTGATATTGAACTTGGAATTTAGCTCTTCTATACGGGTTGTGAACTCATCCATTCTGTCATTTAGAGAGGAAATCTGTTCTGAAAGCTGAGCGAGGATTCCCTGCATAGAAGGGAGAAGAAAAGAACAGATAAGATTACAAAAAAAAAAAAAAAAAAAAAAAAAAAAAAAAAAAAAAAAAAAAAAAGACACATGAATTCTGCAGCTTCATTAAGGCAAAAATTGTTCAAACAGTTTAAAAGTGTGAGAGAGAAAAACAAAATAAACCTGGATACCCTTGATTTGCTACCATTGCTGTGAAATCTGGATTTCTCTCAAAAAAAAAAAAAAAAAAAAAAAAAAAAAGACACATGAATTCTGCAGCTTCATTAAGCAAAAATATGTTCAAACAGTTAAAGTTGAGAAACAAAATAAACCTTGGATACCTGATTTGCTACCATTGCTTGTGAATCTGGATTTCTCTCATCATACCTCTGGTTGTTTGCAGAAAGAACAGAAAGCTTGGCCAAGTTCTTATCCATTTGACTGGAATATGAATGTGACATACCACTGCTTGATGTAAATAACAATCACTCCATTAGTTAAGACATCCAGATAAGCGAAGCATGCTTCAACACCCCTAAATAAAGATGAGAGAGATAAAACAATGTAATAAAATGGTTTGAGCTATATTGGTGGATTGCACCTTTTGAGGTTCTTATTTCTCATGGCAACCCTATCAGCAGAGGCTCGCAGAAGAGCTTCTTTGGGGCTTGAGACTAAATCCTCACCCAGGCTGAGCTTTGTCTTCAGATCATCTGGTAAAGCCTGCAAAATGATTAGATCAGGACAACCTATGCAAGAGAAGTCATCATAAGTATCGGATATTCTCGTACCATAACCTCATCTACAAGCTTTTCCAGCTGAATTTGTTCTATATAGGTACGTGGAACATATGAGCCTTCCAAACCTAGCTGTTCTGCAACAATTCTGACAGCCACGCGATCTCTTCCTTGTACCTTTTTGAAAAACACAAGCAAGAATGTGATGGTCGTACAGCTGACATGATAAAATACCAATATGCTTCTGGAAGCATCAAAGATTAGTAAGTAATGAATCCATTAATCATTATAATGAAAGTTCATAAAATCCCTCGTGTTTTTTGAAAATTATTATAGTAAGAGATATGCAAACTAACAAATGTTTTTATTAGAAATATAAAACAACCAGATCTTACACCATCTTCAAACAAGCAAATATCATGTCAACAGAAATTTCTAAATAACTTCCAAGGACTTCAAAAAGAAATCCGAATACATGAGAACACTTTCTACCCTAAAAGATTTTTAATTGACATGGAAGCATTATGTAGAAACCCACTCTTAGGTAGAAGGATGCAAAAAGCTAAATTTATTATACCTGAATATATTGACGATTTAGTTGTTCTAGCCAATCAACTTTCACACACACTCTGTCATCAACGAATACATGACTGCTTCTTTTAAGTATGGTCGCTATTGTATATCCCAGGGCCATCAACCCACCAAGAAGCCGTACACTGACTTCAAAAGTGATCCTTGGTGATATGACAAATGGAGCATCTGTTACCCATTCCTGAAATTGAAAATTAGAGCTGATCATATCAGAAAAAATATTGGATGCTTTTTTCTATAAAAAGAAAAACACCCAAAACCCTAACTGCCCATGAAAACCTACGAATTTTTTTCCCTACATAAGTTGATATAATATGAAACCATTGCAATTTTCTTAGTTTATCATGCCTTGTACTAACATTCAATGGTTACTGCATATTTTGCTAAATGTCAATTCAGCCAATTAACCTCAATTTGTATTTCAATACTCACCCTTGCCAGATTTTCTTGTGGCAGTTAAACAAGATTTGGTAAATATAACTGTACAATTAAAAGCGGGCAAAATTAAGTAAAATAGCATGGCATTTCGAATTCAATATAGGAAAAGTTGTTTATATTTTTTTATTTATCAATAAGACCTCCTTAGTTTCCACATCAACAAATGAGTAAACCTTGTGTAAAATTTCAAGATAGCAACTTATTGGAAACCAAATTAGAAGCAAGTGCATTTACATGACAAATTGAATGATGTTACTGTATTGAAATTAGCGATAGGTATAGTGATTATGAAGCATAAACAGACATTAACAACACTAATTTTTAGACCCAAATAAACAAGTAATATCCATTAGAATATGCCTGATATGTTTGCATTGTGCTAAGTTCACATTCCATCAAATGCTTAATTTGGGATAAAAAGGAATGCACATGTCAAACATATCAAAACAGAAAACAAATGCAACAACCACCACTACCCAAAATGTATTGAGGCTGAGGCTGGCTATGGCCTTCTTTTGCACCATTAGCAGTATATAGAGGTAAACCCTCTCTGACATTTTATGACAATTACGTTTCTTTAACTCATATTTCTAGCATTTAAAACAAGTTACCAGAACCAGTAATTGCAATAATAAGGAAACTACAGTTACAAGGGGCAAACCTCAAACATAAGATTATATTTTCCATCTTTATTCCTCATTCTGAGGTATGACTGGCAAGATTCGGGATCTTCACCCGGTGGGAGAAGATAGATATCGTAAGTCTGCTCTGTTGTCTCTGTATGATCTTCAGAGAGAACAGCCTTGATCTGATCCACCGTCACCTTCCTTGCTGACTACAATAAACAAGAGTACCTTTTGTCAAAAATTGACAGGAAAGGCGGAAAGATTGTGAAAATCATCCTTGCTACAGGGATAATCTAGAATACACTGACCAGCATCAATATAAGTGTGAGAATACAATATTAAAATAAAATAGCCCAAAAAGAAATTCAAAGGGGAAACCAACCTTTAATATATAAGTAGGACTCTGGAATCCAGAGAAGGGATTGAATTTGTTTATGATTTTTATATGTGCGGTTTGAAGATCTGGCTCAATAAAAGCTTTGTACATTGGATATACCTGCAATAAAAGTGAAGCTCAATACTTGAAACACAGTATTATTCTAAAGAAATGGTTTTAAATCAAGTTTAAGAAATGACTAAACTATATATATTTAAGGAAAAAAAAAAAACAAAAAGCAAACCGTTTCAGATATCTGCTGGATAATTTCTTCTGGTGCTTGGCCAGCACGTTGGATGTCCCGTAGAACCCGTTTTACAAGGTCAAAATGAACTCCCCCTGTAACTGATACTCGCAGGTCTAGCATAGGTCGCAGTTTTTCACTTAAAGCATAAATCCCCTCAATAATCACTATACGAGAAGTCGGGACTTCAACCGTCCTATCACAATTACATGCCTGAATTAGGTTTAACATAAAAGCCAGTTATGGAAAGTACATAGAATGATAAACTCAACCACCTTTGAAAGGATAAAACATGACATACTGAAAGCTAGAACTATTGGTTAGTATTAAAGGAAACAGTGGTTTACCTGTACCCAATACGAGTGCTAGACTTGAAATCATAGATTGGAACTTCAGCTGATTTTCCTTCCCTCAAATCTTGTACATTCTTAAGCAATGTGTCATAATCAGTTAGCCGTGGATCTGTTTAAAAAAAAATTTTTAGAACTAATAACATAAGAAAAATGCTCTCAATTTCAAACCATTTGGCAGTTTTGAATAATTGCACATGAATTCCAACTTGCAATTAACAAGTAAGAACCGTCACCATGGTTAGTTGCACGCCTGGGCCTTAATCAAATCTGTCTCCTGATAAAGACTGAAAACTACTATGCAATCCAAACTAGTGCATAGGTTTTCACTCAATTCTATGTCTAAAACCACAAATCACAGAAAAAGTTTCTCTATTTCCCAAGGCACCTCATGTTTCTACATTTTTCTTAATTATTTCCTGAATATAAGGTTTCAAAAAGAAAGTTTAAACAAGTTCAGAGATAAATCACCATCAAAATTGCCATCAACAATTCGGCTAGCATCATTGTAGTTGTCCATTGATATGACAGCAACACTGGGCATGAAGTTGAGTACCTTCTCTGTGAAAACAGTCTTCCCAGCCCCAGAAGGGCCTGCTAAACCTACTAGTATTATTCCATCATTGTTTTGCGCTAGCAATTGGCATGCTCGTATAAATAAAAAGAACCCTTTCTCAAAAGTATAAGTCTGTTGAATTGGAACAATCTCATAGCGATCACAGTCCTTTCTCCTAGCAAGCCTGACTTGGTCTTTCAATAGTCTCTGTCTCTTCTGGTGTAAGTCAGCACCAGACATATCTTGGGACATCAGAAGAATATGTTTTGCTCCCTCTGATTGAAAGAGAAAAGAAAATACATCAAAATAAATGGCTTCAAACGAGAGAGAATTTAGAGGAAGTGGACAAATGTTGATTGAATGACATGATGAAATTTAATCCAAAAAACACATACACGCACAGTTTTTTACCTGTGAAGCAATAGCATGACAAAAGATGTAAATGTACAACAACAAGATTTTTAGAGGTCATAAAACTGGCAAATATACAGTAAACAAAACTTTCTATATCAGTATCAATATACTTAAGAGAAACACAAATACCTAAGAAGCACAGAAATAACAGAGAAAACGCTAATTAGAAGACTAGGATATCCAGTTGAAATGACTAATTTCCTTATGCATAGCACCTCTCCATTCGAGCTGTCCATTCAAATGGAAACAATGGCAATCATGATATAGTAAGAACGGAGAAGAATCTGAAATGCCCATTCCCAGTCTATGCATCATGAAACAAATGATCAAAATTTTTAACGAAATTAAAGGACCCCCAACAGTCAATACATCTAGCCATAATAATAGACTCTAAAACCATCCTTTGGAGCAAAATCTTGCCAGGGTCAGCTGATGAATGAACTAGGCCCGGCTGATGCCAGGGCCTTCCAGTTCAAAGACTATAAAAAATATGCAGGTACGATCTCCTTTTTTCTACTACAATATTCGCCCATCTTCCTCAATATCCACACAAGTAGCAGTTCCATCACCCAAAAAAAAAATAATAAATAAATCAAAACCACTCACTCATACCAAACCGAGTTAATACTCAATTTGTGAGCAAGAGTACTGACATAGTTAGTTAACACACATAGGGAACCATCATAAAACTAATAATTAGACAATCAAGATACACAAAACGTTCGCTCCACTGCAACAACAACATGGGACTTCACAGCCGAAAATATCAATTTATAAAGATAGATAAGACAACTTTCACATTTAGCATTAATAGAGATAGTCCATTACTTCAATTTAAAAAGGTGTCGAACGGAAGGTTAGTTAAAGTTTGTCAGTTCTGGAAATCATCGAAATAATGATTTAAAAGATCAAATAAGAAAATTTGATGCAAAACTCTCCCCATTATAAAAGCCAAAAATAGAAAACAAAGTTAAATCACAACGCAAATGCAAAATCACGATACAAGACACACCCACGACCACACTCACAGCTATAAAAATCAGCGGGAAAACAAATCTTCATAAGCCAAACCCCATAAAACAGGGCTAAAATCTCAGCTCCAGCAACTTGTACGGACACAGTATAAATCAAACCAAAACAAGTTATTCATCGAAACCACAAATCAAATATGATCAAAACAACGATTATAACCCAGATAACAAAATGGCAAAACCAACAACACCCAGAAAGCAAAACGGATCAAAATCAGTAAAGCAGAGAGACTGGCGGTGGAGAGCACAAACCGAATCAAGTGAGCTCCGTCTATATTATAATGCCAATGAATGAATGAGCCACACCAAAGTTTTACCAAAATACCAATGAAAAAACGGAAAGACTAAATACTGCCACTCCTATAAGGTCGGTTTCTCGATAAAATAAAGATATTTCCTTTCCGGAATGGAAAAGATATTATTTTTTCCAGGATTTTTATTAATTTATTTGTTTAAAGGAGTTCAGTTTTGTAGAGAAACTGCAATTACACCCGAGAAAGGCCCAGAGGCAAACAAGAGAGAGAACGAGAGAGAGCGAGAGAGACAAAACGAGAGAGAAGAAGATGTGATTATATAGGGTTCTTTAATATTAATTTTAAGATTTTAATTTTTCCGCGATAATCAGCAGTCAACTTCGAACCAGGACTCTCTCTATCACTGGTACCAAACACTTGACACTTTGCACTTTGTTACTATAACCTGCAGCTCCTAGGGGTTGCATTTGGCCTACATGTGATGGTGAAGAAGTTTCATGAACATGGCTATGGATTTTTTTGCAATCACATGTCGACACGACTGTTCAATTGTCGAATTTTAGGTGTGATTTTGTCATATTATCGAGATTCACAGTGATCTTTAGACATATAATCATCGGATTGGTTAGATTAAAATCGAATCAAAATTAGCATGAAAATAATGAAATTGAAATTATCCCTAAAGCGATTGAAACGATTAATTTTAATCTCATTTCGATACGATTTTTTATCAATTGTTAAATTTTAACATGATTTTATAATATTATCGAGATTCATAGTTATTTTTAGATATATTCATTAGATTGGTTTGGATTAAAATTGAATCAGAAGCAGTCTAAAAATAATGAAATTGAAATTAATTCTAAATTGATTGAAATGAACAATTTCAACCTCATTTCAGAGTCGATTTTGATTTTTAATCATGAAATATCAGAATTAAAACCTTGGTCACCATGTTGAGATTTATAGGTTTTGCTAAACACTTTATAGTATAATGATTTATTTACAATATATGATAAATACGTAGTAATATATAATAGTATACTTAGAATTTATTCATTGATTTTGATTGCTAGAGTTACAAAATTATTAATTTTAAATATGGAGGTCAATTCCATTAAAACTTTTGACTGGTAACAACTACAAAGGACAAGAAAAATATTTAAATAAAAGCTTGAGCTTAATCCAAACATGAAAAAAGAAAAAGAAAATCATGCATAAGTTATCTAGTATAGTTCCATGTTTTCCCTTCTATTTTTAAAGGTGTGAAAAATGATTTTCTTTTATATAATATTTTAATAACTTTTTTAATTAATTTGATTAAATTATTAAAAGAGAACAATTATTTTTATTATGCGATGTGGTATTCTTGAATTTATTAAGTCTTTCCATAAAACAAATTGATTATAAAATATCAAAATATACCCGTTATCAAAATTCGATGATAAAATTCTCATAATTAAGAGATTCTAAATTATGTTTCTTCGTTATTATAGTTTTTTCTTAATTAATCTCATAGCTTGATCATAAAAATAAGATTATTTAAGTTTATCAACATCTTGAATCTTATTTAATATAAAATCTCTTTTTCGAATATTTAAAAAAATAGAATTATTTAATGTATGGTATTTGTTTTTTAATGTAACATATGGCATTTTGTTAATTTGTTTAGTTGTATTATTTCAAGCAAATATACCTTAATGATTGTTTTCTTGTTATGGTAAGTTACCTTTGTTTGAAAATATTTTTTTAAAAAAATCATTTTCTTTTATGAAATGGTTTATTTCATTTGATGATTAATTTTTCAAACACTTTCTTAAAAAAAAAAAAATCAAAAACATCATAAAAATTCATTAGGTGGAGTTTTCGTCCGAGGAGGCTAGTTGATTATTTTGCCATCTCTCATTTTTCATGAGATGTTCATCTTAATTTGAGCTTGTGGTCGGCTAAATTCTGAATTGTACTAAATATTGCAAGATGCACTTTTCAAATTAAGCATATATACATATATATAGCAAGGTAAGAATATTGTTGTCTAAGATCAAAAGTTGCTTTTTTCACACCATTGATGGTTCAATTTCATTTTCCAATTAAAGGACAAACCCAAAACTACAAGGCAGCCGAGCCCTTCACATATTATCTTCTTGGAGGAATATTTATAACTTTTCCCAAGTCAACAAAATCAATGGTTCATTTAGGAACCACCTTTTCGTGACAGTCTTTACAGTTGTACTCATCAATAGCTTTTTAAACAGTTTTAAATATTATTTTTTACAGTGTTCGATAAGATAGAGGTGAAGGTATAATATTTTATAAAAAATTAATCCATATAATATTTAGCTTTTAATATTTTACGAAAAACTACTTAAACAATCGTTATCAAAATAGCTAATATAATTTTGCGAATAGACCCGATAAGGAAAAACTTTTTTTTACGAAATAAATGAGAAATTTATTGTAAAGTTGTTCGTGGAACCCAATACAAATAAAGCAGAGGACATTAATTATGAGGAACTTAAATAGGTCATCCCAATTCCCAACTATGTATAGAAATTTCCATTTCATAAGAAATGATCAAGTACAAATAATAGAAGAAATATATAGTTGCTCTTGCCTTTATTTTTGGGTCTTCGTCAAGGTCTATTTATTTATTTATTTATACATCTTATTGCGTAAAAGAAGAGTACAGAATATAAATGTGACTCTTGATTGTAGTGGGCAGTAAATCCATTGGGTTGTGGCAAAATTTTCTTTTCCTTGAGTACTTTTCTGTAGGGGGTGGGGTGGGGATGGGATGCCTAAGATTTGGAAAGTGAAATTCCATACCATTATTTTCCACACGCAATGAGGGAAATGTAAAAAGAAAGTCCATTAAATGATCTTTATAACTTTTTATCCATTGTAAGTCAATTATACAAGAAAGATAATGTGCGTTTTTGCCTAATGTTTAAAATTACCTCTAAATTTTAGATTTTCTTTCGCGTAATATTCTAAAATTTTTGAAAGTCTTATCATACACCTGAAGTTACAGTTTTTAATAATGATTTTGTAACTTAGCATTGAAGGATATTATCTTTTTAGTAATAATTTTCGGATATTTATTATGTATTTGAAGCCTGAAGGCAGGCATGATCATGATTTCAAAACCATGGTGTTTTGATTTTAAAACTACTGATTTTAGTTATAAGAAAAGTGAAGCCGATTTTAGAACTGTTGGTTGTAATTTCGTTTCTATCTAAAATGAAATTAGATATTTTATATGAAATAATCTTTTTAAATTATAATAAACTAAAAAATAATTATAATAAAATAAAAAACTAAAATAAATTATAATAAAATAAAAAAACTAATTGGTAGTTTCTCTTAAAACATGTTTTTTCAAGGTTTCGAGCTAGAAACCATTGCACTGGTTTTAAACTCAAACTGTCGATTTTAGGTTAAAAAATTAATAATTGAAATCGAATATCAAGTGCATGATTTCGCTTATGATTTAGAATCAGAAACCATTGACCACGGTTTAGTGTTAGATTGACAGTTGGATTTCGGTTTGAAACCAAACCTTGGTCATGCTTATCTGAAGGTGTGTAATTATAATAAAAATTATAACTTTAAACGCATAATAGGTCTCATAAAAACTTAATGGTATTCCAAAACCCCTCAAACTCAAGGACAATTTTATCTATTAGGGCGTTCCTTTTTTTTTTTTTTATTCATTCTTGTCGCTACATAATAAGGGATATTACTTCTTTAAATAATTTTTTTATGGATGACAATATTGTTTACAATTTAGAACCAAAAATCATTGACCAAGATTTTGTGTCAACTTTGATTAGTTCGTTTTCAGTTTAAAATTAAACCATGATCATGCCTATTTGAAGGTGCTTAATTATAATAAAAATTATAATTTTAAAGGCATAACAGGTCTCTTGCAAACTTTACAGTATTCAAAAAATAAAACTCTAAAACTCAAGGACAATTTTATGTATTGGGCTATTTCTTTTTTTTATTATTATTATTATTAAAATAGCTACATAATAAAGGATATTATTTCTTTAAATAATTTTCACCAAATTACTACAATTTTTTTGGATGACAGTAAGGGTGTTTAAACTCGATTTGGGTTGGGGTTTGGTGAAAATTACTATGATATAAGTTCAATGCTTTGTTAAAGTTGTAGTAATAAATTTTAATGTTCGGTTAGCTCCATCAAATCCTCAAAATTTGGTAACTCATCTACTTTGGCCAAGTACACTTTTCATACACTTTTCCTTCTTTCTCTCATTCATCCTCCCAAACAAACATGGTTGGATTAAAGAAAGAAAGAAATTAAGGGACAAAGAAAACAAGGAGAAAAAAAAAAAAAAGAGAAATATGAAAATTTTGACAAAAAAATTTAATTTCTTTTTTTTTTTTATGTTTGGATATAGAAGGAAAATAAAATTATTTTCACTAGTTCATTGCCACTGTATATTTTTTTTTTTCTATTTTTCCTCTAATTTAAAAAGAAAAATTTTTTAAAAGGAAAATAAGTATTATTTTACTTTCATATTATTTTTCTTCAAAGTTCCAAATGAGGAAAATAACATTTCCTAATTAATTTCTATAGTTCTTTTTTTTTCAATTATTTTCTTCTCATCCAAACATGATTGAAAGTGGATTTTTAATATGAAATTCTAAATTATATCAATTCAAATTCTAACTTGCTATAACATTTCAATTAGACCATGTGTTTTCACTAATCAATTGCTATATAAAAATGGGATAATCTCTTTTCAGGCATGAAATGAACAAGATCAAGGAATAAATGAATCTTTTTTTACACATAAAAATTTTTTAAATGATGCTATGATAAGGGACTAGAAGTTTTTTTTTTTTTATTATTATTATTATACATCAACTAAGCACTTTATCTAGAAAACAAATAAAATATAATCATACAATCACAAAAGTCAATTCATTAAAGTTATTTTCTCATCTTATTTATTGAGATGAAAATTTTAAGTGACATATATATTGCTATATAAAAATGGCGAAATCCTCTTTTCAGGCATGAAAATGAACCATATAAGGAATAAATGAATCTTTTTTTTACACATAAAAAATTTTTTTAAATGATGCTGCATGATTAAGGGACTAGAAGTTTTTTTTTTTTATTAATATTATTTACATCAACTAAGCCACCTTTATCTAGAAAAACAAATAAAAATTAATCATACAATCACAAAGTCATTCATTAAAGTTATTTCTCCATCTTATTTATTGAGATGAAAAATTTTAAAAGTGACAACTAATATATATATTATATATATATATAAATATATATATATAAATATATAAAATTTAAATTACCATTAAAATTGATTTTTTTTTTTCAGTTGTCAGTAAAAATTTGACATTTGAAAGGACTTTGTATATTCAAGAATCTTTGTCAACAACCACATGTCTCCTCTGTAGCCTTTTTCTTTATTCTATGACCAATTCAAAGATTATTATTGGACACTCGTCTTCTACATTGATTGATGAAGAAGAAGCTATCTGAAGCCAATAATGTTGATGGCTAGAAAGAATCTAATCATCTAAACAGAAAAAAGTAATTTCTCATGAAGAATATCATATCTAAGGATACATATTTTTCTTTTCTCTTTTCTTTTAACAGAAAAAACAATGATAGTTGTTTTTACATATGTAAATTATTGATTGAGGTTTATAAAAAAATAATAACTATATATCAGTGACATTTTCAATTTATCAATAATAAAATAAAGACAAATATAAATTGATTTTTATATTTTATTATTAAGAAAATTTTTAATAACTATGGTTTGCATTTCTTCTACTATTTGATATATAACATATATGTCAAGTAAATATTTATATAATATGAGAAACATATTCAAATCCAACCTATCAAACTTACTATTCAGTTTTGTAAAAATTCTTATAATATCAAGTAATTTTGTTGTATTTTTTAGTCTAATAGTTTGTTTTATATCTGATGTTATGAGGTCATGTCTTCCATTGACCATTTAATTGATTGAGATTTGGGCAATGAAACCTAATATTCATTTCCATTAAAAAAATATATATGAGTAGATTAAAGTATTAAAAATATATGAGTAGATTAAAGTATTTGCTTTTCATAGAGGAAAGGTGTTGTTTATATAATTTTAGAGAAAATAGCACTTGCAGAATTGATCACCATAACTTAGATCATAGATTCGATTTTTCACAATGCAAATTCCTTTCGAGCTAGCTTCTTTACCTCCAAAGGCGAGCAAAAATTAACCAGGTCCGTGGACTATTAAAATGGATACGGGCTTTGATACCTCACATAATTGCGTAAATATAAAGAATAAATAAATAGAACTTGAGCTTGGGCAAGTTGCCTTGAGAACAAGCCTTGTTGAAATTTAGGGCAGTAAGGTAAGCAACCTCTGTTGACCCAAAACTAGCTAGGCCCATCTTGCCTAAATTTGTTTCGTTGAATTTAGTTTTGTGATTTAATTTGTTGGTAAAATAAATTACTATTTTAGAAAAAAATTGCATTACTCCATTTAAAGAGAAATCCATTTTTCAATTAAGAAAGCAGTAAACAACTAAATTTCATTGATGTCTTGAAGCAAAATTTAAATACTTATGCCTTATAGATTGTAGTTCAGTTGATAACGTAAGCTGAGCACGCGAAAAGAGTTTTCGAGTTTGATTTACACTAAACGCATCTAGGGCTAGTAATAGGGACCGGACTGTAGTGGTTATAAAAAAGAAAATTTAAATACTTATAAAACATACTTTGCAATACTAAAATTCATTCTCTTCTGTCATTTTGCAGGGCCCGGCATGTTTTCGAAGACTAAAGAAAAAGATCCAGAATGAAGTTTAAATTTTATCATTTTATATATTAAAAGGAAAGGAAATAGAGAAATAAAACTTCAATATCCAACAACTGTTACATATAAATGTGTGTGTTGATCATCACTTCTTGATATGAGAAACAAATACAAATTAATTTAACCAAATTTCATTTGGCAGCTCAATTATGTGTTCACAAATCTGCAATTTCTCCTGACTTCTCCATTGACAAAGCTATCAGGATTAGTAATATTTCCTAATTTCACCATGGAATCAGAGAATTGCTGAAAAAAACCAACTGGGTCATGAGCATACTTCAAAACAAGATTCTTTGTCTGAACTCCAAGTATACTCGAGTACAATTCTTGGTCTGAGTTCAACAATCCTTCTCCTTTTAACAGAATCTGAAAATAAGAGTTGTCAAATTGATTAGGTGTGACATAGTCCATTGCTGATACATTATTGTCTTGTCCACCAGCAGCTGGACACATGGATCTCAGGCTCTTCAGGTAAGTCTCAGACGTTGGACCTGCATCTGAAGTTCTTTCAAAGTCTCCGTAAATCCTTGCTCGAAAACTTTCACACCGCGCCATGCCTATTGTGTGTGCCCCTGAAGATTATACAATATACAAATATCCATTGGAATGTTAGATTTTGAATTCCTGAAGATTATACTACTAGTGCAAGATTATTATTACCTGAAAGAGCTACCATATCTTTGACAGAAAGGCCTTGATAAAGAAACTTGGAGATGATAGACAGTAGTCCTTCATTAGCAGTAGGAATATTAGAAGTTGCAAGCTCATAACTTGCAGTCTTAGAATCTTTCCTTCCCACAGGAACATCCCAATATGGTCCTCCAACCTGAAAACATCATTCCCAAAAAAAAAAAAAAAATCTCAAACTTCTTAAAGACAAACAAAAATGTAAAGGGTCGTCCATCAGCGCCACTAGTAAAGCACAGACGACCGAGAAATAGAGGCTCCAAGTTCTCCAAAACTTATTATTTCTGTTATCGAGCGTTTTAAGAGGTCAGGTCAGGCCTCAGGGATTAAAAAATAACAATACCAAATTGTAGAATATATTACCAGAATCACAGCATCTCTTGCAGCAATAGTGAGGATATCTGCGCAAGATACAATTCCAGGGCATTCGGATTCAACCTTGTTCTTGATCTTATCAATGATTCCAAAGCCTCTCAGTGAATTCACGTTAGGAGAAGCTTTCTTTTCTCCTTTCAAGGTGATTGTGTCATCTAGCAAGACTGATCCATCACATCCCTGCGCCCATTACACCACATATTATAATTATTCTATTGGCATAGACTAAATCTTTTCTTTTTTTCAAAAATGTCACCCATTTTTAGATATTTTTAAGAAATAACAGTTTAAATGAACTGTTTAACCAACACGATTCAAGGTAAGGAGTTTGAAACCTGAAATAGCCGTGTTGAAAAGATTTTATCTAAATATCAGTTCACGAACTAGGGTCCCATGCATTGGATGGGGAAAAACACATAATAGAAAAAAAAAAAAAAAAATCAACTGGGCCCATGCATTGGATGGGGAAAACACATAATAAGAAAAAAAAAAAAAAATCAGAGTGTTTTAGAGTTCTTTAAGACTCAAAACACCTTAAATTTCTTTTCAAAAGTCATTTTTTTAATTGCCTTGTTGAACATTATATTGGAAATGATACTTTTTCTCAAAAAAAAAAAAAAAAAATCAGAGTGTTTTAGAGTCTTTAAGACTCAAACACCTTAAATTTCTTCAAAAAGTCATTTTTAATTGCACTAGTTGAACATATTTGAAGATGATACTTTTCTCAACAGCAGCGCAGAAAACATAATAGAGGGGTTGCAAACCTGAACGAAACAGTCATGGAAATGCAATCGAACTACAAGAGCTGCATTACGAGGATCAGAGAGAACTTCACATTCCATTTCTTTCCTAATGACATCAAAAACAGTAGGGCAAGTAGATGCATAGTAGTCCAATGTCAAAGGAGGTTCATCACTTGCATCCAAGCTTTTACTAAAGAAGATGAAGACAGAAACCCAAAGAACAAAGTGAAATGAGTAACGAACAGGATTTGCCATTTCTGCTCTCTTGGCAGCTTTTCTTGAATGATAAATAAGAGGGTGGGAGAAATGGGTTAGAAACAGAAATATATACTGTAAGGGAAAGGAATACATTGAGTAACGCATTTTACTTTTTTGCATGTGGCCATTTGAGTATTTTGCATAGTCAATAGTTGATGCAACTAATGTTAGCCTGGTTGGTGGGCACTCCTAAACTAAAATCACCAAAAAGAAAAAACATATATATTACTTAAAAAGCTTTATGTAATTCAACAAGCTTAAAACTAATAACAGCTATATTTTGTAGATTCATCTCTATTTCCTTCTCCAAATAATAACTTATCCCCTGGAAAAGGTCCTATGTCTATTCATATTTTGTTTATAGTAAGCTGTTATTTAAAGTGTATGGCCATCTGCTCGAACCTTTTCAGACTGTTATTTGAAGTGAACTTCACAGGTTGGATGGTTTGATTTGAATAGATTAGGTTATACAAAGATGATTTTGTCCGATATTATAGAAAAAGATGATTTTGTGACCTCAACAAGATATCCAATTTCGGATTTTTTTTATTGGAAAGGGGAATTTTATATTAGTGACAATTGAAAGTTGTAACTAACGTGATCTTAGCTTAGTAAGTAAAGCAGATAGTCTGAAATTTAAAAAGAATTCATGGGTATTTATAATAAATTTGAACCGAAGAATTATCTATATACCTTATAGTCTATAATATTATAGCTGCCATAAAATTTTCCAATAAATCTAAAATAAAATGTCTATTGTCTCTATAATTTCATTGTGCTTAGCTACTTAAGTTAATTTTAGTGCAAATTGATTGGCTAAATGGACATATTCCCATTTGGTACATATAAAATTCCTCTTCAGAGCTTGCTCTGTAGTTAGATCATGACAGCAATGGCGCGGCTTTTCTATTGGAATTTTTAGTTTAATGTTGTTCGAGCTCGGGCTCCCATAGTGTTAAAAAAAAAATTAAGGAACCACTTTTACTTTTATAGCCCACAGTTTTAAATTACCATGCCATCAAGGTCCATCCACTTCTACATGCGACCTTTGAATTATTATTCAAGAAAAATAATATGACGCATTCCCTGTAGCCTTGGTTACTTGTTTTTGTTGCTTTTCCATGAGTTGAAAGATAATGGTAAATGAAACCGAGTCATGATCTTGAAGTGTAGGATACTCATCAACTACGTAATTTTCGATCAAGTTGACTTTTGTTATTACAGAGATGGCCACTGGACATCAAAAATCAACCTTTAGAGTAGCCTAAATGTTTTCAACAAAACACCAACAAAAAATTGTCTAGATGGTAAACTTTCCATATACAAATTATATATCGCATTAAATGGTATTGCACTAGTCAGGACTTCTACTTGGAGAGCAAGCTTCATACAGCGATTTGGGCGTTGATGAATTAAACATTTTCCTTCCGGCCAGCAGAGTCTAGAAAAGCAGCCAGCTCAGCTCTTAGCTCTGTTTTTTCAGAAGTGACCACACTTCCTCTAGGCAAAACTTTTCTAATTAAATTCCTGAAGATTTCAACTATTCAATGTTGAACATTGCTGTAATTTAGCTAGATATCAGAATCAGACATCCTAAATTAAAGCTAATGGAGGAGTTCAATAATGCCAGTATTCAGTTCAAAGATGAAAGTAGAAATCCTTCCAAACACTTTTGAAATATTGCCATGCTTAAACAAAAGCAGATAATGTTGGGGAAAATAAACACGATCTTCCCTCTTCACAGTTCATTCCAAAACTTTGTGCAAGTGAAATAATACTTGAGTCAAATAAGCACCGCAGACCTAGTACATCAGGTATATAGTTCAGAATCAAATGAAGAATCCTTAATTCGACTAGACCATAAATATTTATCTTCAGCATTCCCGTTTGAGCTCAAGTTAATGCGATGTAACACATTTTTCTGCAGTACGGACTTGATTAGAGCTACTGCAGAACCATCATGTTCGGGCCAGGAAACACACAGAGTTCCCTTCATGTTCCTCATCTGGCATCGAGCTAAGAGTGCAGCTGCCAAGCCATCCACCATACTCCCTGAGGGAAGATAGTCTAAACCTTTCAGCAATGATGATCCTCCACAACCATTGGTGTGCCCTTTCCTTTCCGTTGATGTTTCTAGCTTGAAAGCACATGCCTCATCTGATGAGAGCTTACCCCGAAAATTCTGGATCTTAATTGAATCCAAAATTAGAACTCTCTCAGGAATAATTTGTTCACCAATCAGCAACTTAGCAACCACATTAGATCTCTCAGCACTTACAGAGCACTGAATAGAAACCAGAAGAGTCAACTTATCAGCATCATTTAGGGCATAAATGTTGCAGGATTTATCTCTAAGAGAAGGGTCAATGCTATTTCCTGAGAAAGGGATCTCAGGTATGAAGACACTACCAATTAGGGTCTTTGAGGATACATGGTGAAAGACATAAAGAGATGGGGTAGATAAGGCAATAATGAGGAGAGATGGACAAAGTGGTTGATCAGGTTTAGGATTAGAGAAAAGAAGGAACGGAGATGGAAGAGGTGGTGATGGAGGGGTGAAGTTGTTGAGATCTTCCTGAAAGAACCTTGAAGGTGGTGGAATCTCTGTTAGAACATCTTCCATGTCTCCTTTAAAAGCAAGTGGAACACTCTGCTTATGACAGTATATATAGTGTAGTCAGTACAAGGTTTAAGCATAAAAAATAAGCAAACGACCCTTTGAAATTAGCTTGCAAGTCTATCAGACAAATCATGAAAAACTGAAATTGAAACTTAAGATTTGCTCCCTCATACAGGAAAAACAACATGACTTCAGATATGTTCCAAATACGAAATATACTGCTGCTAACACATAAATTGAAATAGGCTTGTGTATTTAGATTATAATTCACTCTAAGGCACCGGAAGTATATCTTTACCATGCAAATGTGTGTACCTGATGTGTCAAATGCTATAGTTTAGTTCTCAATTATTTGCAAACATAAAGTTCTCTAGTTTGTGCCTGAGAACTTCCAAAACAGCAGACCAAGGTTCATGGAAAGCCTATAAAAAAAATTCTGATTTTCCCTTTTTCTGTAATCTTTTTCCCGGCATTCCTTTTGATTGCTTGGCAGGAGATAAAAACAGGGAAAATGAGAAGGTAGGAGAGAAAAGTGAACACTGTTTTCTTGGTACATGAATAGCAAATGAAAAGTAGTTCCAACTCAAATCTAGGGGCCCTAAAATTAGAGATAGAGGAAACATATTCCTTATCAGCGCTTTACAATCAATTCAAAATACTCCCAGTAACAATAATCGTCCTCCTTATTACATTCCACCTACATAAATTATCAGTTATAGAAATAAGTAACACATGGAAGGGGACAAGTTAGCAATGCTAACCCTTGTCAACTTTGCAAATTCTTATAGATCATAAGACTAAGAACATGCCAAAACTAATGTAATGATGTTAAAGAAATATTAAGAATGACATCAGAGATATCTAAAAATACTACTTATGCTTTAGCAGAAGTGCTAAGACCAAATTATAATTTAACCAATACAATATTATCAAAAGATAAAATCATAAGCATACCAACTTCTACTAAACTTGCAACCACTCATTTCTTGAACAATAATACAAAAGAATATTATATAGACTACCAAAAACATCAAAATACAAAAGGGTTAGCACCTAATAGCAAAAGGAAAGCTCTTCGTAATATGGGCATAAGAAGAGTAAACTAATTTACAAAATTAATCCTACCCAATCACTACACAGTTCAGTGAGCTTTCAGAAACTTACGATTTGATTCCTAAGAAGGAAAAATAATGGGAGATTTAGTTAGAATTACTTAATAAAATGAGATAACTTTCAAAAAATATGACATCAAGAAGAGAAAAATGAGCTTAAAAACCAGAAAATTGACCTTGACCAACCAGAATAAACCCTGACCCACAAATCTTCAGCTTCCAGAAAGAAAAGTTTCATATTCAAAGCATATTTTCCCCAGAAACAGAAATTAAAACCTATGGAAGACGTACCCGGATCGGAAAACGTCGTCGGTGAGGAGATGCGAAGCAGGAATCCTTGGGTGTATATAGATACGATTTCTTCTTGCTCAAGAAGCACTTCTCTTCTCTATAAACAAAGAAGGCGTAGTAAAATGGCCCGTAAGTAATGCCAATATTTGATAATATATGTTTTTTTTTTTTTTTTTTCACTAAGCCACTTTCTACTTCTCTATAAACAAAAGAAAGGCGTTAGTACAAATGGCCCGGTAAGTATGCCAATATTTGATAATATTGTTTTTTTTTTTTTTTTTTTTTTCACTAATTGGTTTGTATTTTTTTACTGTCTTTTAATCTAAAATACTTCTATAATATCTTAGCAATATTTAATTCTTTTTTTAAAACCATTATAAAATACTTTGATACTGTTTTATCGATATTTACTATTTTGGGTCTATTTGTTCCAAAAAGTAATTTACTTAAAAAAATACTTTTAAAACATTTTATGTTTGGAGCACTAAGTAAGATTAGTGAACTTAAACTAATCAAAAGGAATATTAAGCTATTCCATTTTCAAGGGAGAAAAACATTTTGGATATTAATTTTTTTTTTTCCAATCTTATAAACATATATCTATATTAACTCATTATTCATAGTAGTCACTAATAGCTATTACTACTGATCAATGAGAGCACTAGTTTTCAACTACCATCATAATTTATTATTTTTTTCTCGTGTTTAATAGTAATAAAACTTAAAATATGAAGTATTTACACTATCAAATATTTTTATAGTCTTGTAAATTATGAATTTTAAATATTGTTCAATTAATTTTCAATACCGCACTAAACAATATAAAATAAAATGTTAGGAAAAATAATTTTCAAAGGTAACATTTTCCAAGAGCAGGAAACAAACAGATATTACGTTAACGCTTTTGTTTTTTTTTTTTTTTTTTTTTTTTTTTTTTTTTTTTTGAAATTCAAATTCTCAAAAAAAAAAAAAAGTAGTTTTATTCTGATTAGGTTTTTTTTTTTTTTTTTTTTTTTTTTTTTTTTTTTTTTTTGAAATTCAAATTCTCAAAAAAAAAAAAAAGTAGTTTATTTGGATTAGGAATATAATAATATTAATAAAAAGTACATTTCATTAATCTTCCATTATACTTCATTAGGATTCAAAAATTTGGAATAAAAAAAGTTGATCCTTGGTGTTATGGCCATCCCAATACATGATTACTGACAAGCTTAACCTCAAAACATAGTTTTGCTTTCTCTTATGTTTTATTCAATGATGTCAATTACAAGCTTTTCACAATAATAGTAGAAGAAAGAAAAAAAGCATAACTGCAACTGAGAACGAACACATCAACAAAAATAAGGTAAGAATATCTGAACTACAAGTCTAGTTCTAACTCCACTACTTAATAATGAACAAGTTAAAATCAAATGCAATGATGAACCCTCAAATTTGGCTGAGGGCTCAATGTTTATACAGAAATGGTTGCTATAACAAGTTTTTAAATCAATGTAAGTTTTCTTACAACAGATGATTGGCGAGTCAAACTTGAGTGTAAGGTGGCAGACAAACAATCAAACTACTCACACAGTCTGACCTTTCCTTTCCAATCAACTTCTGATCTCAAGTCTTTCTGCAAACCCTTAAATTACAGAGGAACTTTATGGACCACAATCGTTTAAGTTTGACTGTAGACCATAACAAATGCGTAAAATTGTGTAGTTGTTGAACTGCAAATGAGACATCAGAGACAAATATTTGCTTTTAATAATAGCATGAAAGCAAATAAGATTATGCAATAAATACTTTCGCAATGAAAGGTTCCACAGAAAGAAGAGAGAAAAAAACACAACAACCAATATTCAATATTTTGGAGAGCCAGCCCAAAGAAACAGAAAAATGCATGCTGAAAATAAAACATCATGGCATTTCAGTAATTTGTCTGAATTTCTCCACCCAAAAAACTACCTTTTGTATGAGTTACAGCAAGGCAGTAATTACTGTTTTCGGTCAATCTTCATGTTCATCTTCTCCTTCAGAATCTGTACAGGAGAAATTTAAAGAAAACATATTAAGGATCATCTACAAAAGAAGGATTTAAGAGAAAGGAGCATGGAAAATAGATAAAACTCGAAACAGATTGTATTCTAAAACAACTGACAATAATCTCATATATAATAATAAATTAACAGCCTCGACGATGCCAGTGTAATAAAATCAAATACTTGTGCTGGAGATTATTTTCCTCCCAACCAAATCTTATCTAATACATCCATTCATTGCTATCATACTGCAATCGTTTATATGCACACATCACATTTCAATACTACATTATCACATTTTTTCTAACATACCAGATCGAACATCCTCACTTATCTGACCCCTTGCTTGGATTTGCTTAACAAGCATCCGATATATCAGGACCCACCAGTAGATATGGAGAACGAGCAAGCAATATAGAAGAGTATTGAACACATAATAATAGATTGGACCTTCCACTCGATGCCTTTGCTTGTCCAATGTCTGGACAACTTCATAGCTGCATCAAGAGGAGGAAGAATGAATGAATAATTTGGTGAGCATCTAAATCAGTAATGAAGATTAATACACAATCAAACAAACAGATGAAGAATTTAAAAATAAAATGAGATAAAATAATTCCATTAATTATGAGCCGGTTAGGGAGAGTAGAGATCCTCACACACAATTAACAGAAAAAAGGCTTCCACAGTTGTGTGCATAAAAGAGCAAGACAAATATATATAGCTAAGGCAGCAAATGCCACCAACTAATATGATATGGTCCCAATTACCATAGTCCTATGCTTTAAGCTTTTACGTATGTGTGTGCATGTGTCTTTCTTTGACACTGTTCATCAACTCTCTTCTATCAATTAATGCTGGTAACCAGTTCAGATCCGAGCAACAGATGGAACATAGAAAAATTAGGAAGTTTGACAGCTGATGTAACTAACATATGCATCAATTCTAACAAACCTTGTACTCCAAAGGACCCAGAATGGATAGTAAATGAGGCGCAGTAAGATCCAAGACAAAACAAAAAGAATAAATGCAAAGCTAGCCAACCCTTCAGCACCACTGTACTTGGACATCTTTCCAATTTCTAAAAATATATCACTAGCATCATGAAGAGCCAAGACGACTGAACCAACACGAGCAAATCTGCAAGCAAGAGATAATTGTAATATATGAGAATTTTATGCAACTACAGGCATTGCTGTTAACTACTGCTATAAACCTTTTGCATAAATATTTATGACTTTCATTAACCAAAAGAACTTCCTCACAGAGTTTTGATTGCAGTATATTATGGTGCTGCAAACAAACTCGACCACAGCATACCTGAAAATGTAGGAGAGCACAATAAGAATGACAGTTGCTACATGATGACTCATGGACACCCCAAAGTCTGAGCGCCTTGTTTCCCAGAATATCAGAGCAAAAATGGAGTATGTGTAAAATCCAGCAGCATACATATATACTCCTTTCAGTTTTAACCTGAAATGCATATAACAGTGATTGTGACTGTTGAGTTCATAAATCTAACAGCTTCATAGTGCTCAAAATAGCAAATGAATAGAAGAATAATTAAACCAAATGGAGAGCTGAACAAAATAATAAGCTATTCAATATATTAACTAAAAGTGCTTACTTCATTTTTTGGTCTGGCCAGACTTGATTTCCTGGCCCTACCCAAAAGTACTTTGTGTTAGTAAACCAAGGCTCATTATAAGTAACAGTCAAAGCTAGAATCTCTCCTGAAAGAAAATAAACGCATTTCCAAGCAGATTCCTTGAATTTTCTTATCTTCTTCTTTCTCTCATCTGTCTCAACATCCAGTGTCCGATAACCCTTTCCAAAAATTAATCGTTTTGCCACTTTCTGCAACATGCACAGTCACTTCAGACCAACCTAACCAAATACTTAGGTGATGGAGGACAGGAGAAAAGAAAAGAAAGCTTAAAACAGAAAGAAAAGGGTAATGATGAAAACAATAATGATGAATGAAATGTGGAATTGGGAAAGATTATGCCCGTAGACATCTCTAAGTTCATGCAATTATTGTTGTAGAGGTTTTGCTACAAATTAAATTGGAAAGGACTAGAACGTCATAACCATGCACCATTTTCATAAATTCGATACCATATCGGAGAAGAGGGAAGACAGGGCGAGAGAAGGTGAAAGGAGCCTTTACTTTTTGTTTCCTTATATGCACAAAACAAATTTTCATAAATGCCAAGGACATGACATGCAAAGTGATCAAGACAGCTTTTCTAATTCATCATTGATGACAAAGATGACTAGAGCATATTTGACCCACAACCACAGACCGACATATTGATTATTACACCCCATACAAAATGGTCATTATATTTTTGCTCGTTATCCATATAAACATAATTTTATAGAGATTAGCTAAACTATACTAATAGAAGAGCAGGCTAATGTTTTGTTTCATATATACAATGTAAAACGAGTATGTGCAAAATTAAGGTATCAATGGCAAAGAATATACTGGAAAAGCTAAAATATAATCAATTTTTTTAATAGAAAGAATGAATTAGATTCTTATTTTAGTGAATGTGACCTAAGTTCTTACTCTGATTTCTACATGAGAACCCAGAGAATAGAGATCACAGGTTTCCCCTGAATTGTTTCCCTTGGAGTTTAACACCTCCGACAGGGAGAGTAATTGGACAGGCATTTTATTGTGTTTATCTTATGGTGTTGGATGTAGATATCTAATGATTGCATTTTTTTTTTCTTCAATTCTGCCCATCCATCCCCTAATTAATTTTCACAGGTTAGTTCACAGATTCAATCTAATTTTCACCATAGAGGAATTTCAAGTATAGCTCTCCCTTCTTTTATTAACAAAAAGGAAGCCACATAACTTATAAGCATAGCAACAAAAAAAGAGCACGCAGGAACAACAACCTATTATTGCATATCCATAAAGAACTCAGTTTCTTTAAGCTTACACGATGAAAAAAAAAGAACATGCTTCATGGGGCAAGCTGCAACTCAGAAGAACACAAAGGCAACTTCCAAGTCTGTGGTTTCACTTGCCAACAACCTGACCTCATTCAGGAGTAGACACTCAAAACACCATCAACACAGAGGATTCCCCTTTGATAATTCAATTTTCCAAAATTGATTTTAAATTCATCTAATAATCAAAGTAACACAAACAGTTTAAAGGCCAAGCTCAACCAGTAGTACTGTGATCAGGCCGCATTGCCATTTATTGCATGCAAGGATCACCGTGCAATTGGATGTAGCATCAAATGTGTGTGATATAACGACATCAACTGTATTATTTTCAGGGTGGACTTTCCCAATTCAATTATGCCAATCAACAATGAGTTAATAAGAGCATTGAAATTTCAAAGACCTGAAGGAACGAGCATTATCAAATTATAAAGACTTGTTCAAAGACCTGAAGGAACAAACATTATCAAATTAGTTCAACACTCAATTAAAGACTTGTCGATCTACATTATAAAGCCTAGTTCTCCATTAAATCTATTCATTCCCATCCCAAAGAAAATTTATCGTAGTCAATTTGGTAACGACCTAATAGATCCATTTCATAGAGAGTTTATATGCTATCACACTGTCATGAATTTCTTGCTCTAAAATAGATGGAAAGAAACACACAAATTGGGGCAATAAACAAGATGGGTAAATTTTCATTATGAGCTCTGAGCGGAATGAAACGCAGCAACTTATAGCGTGTACTATTAATTGCCAAAACCTTGAAACATTGCAATAAAATTATCTTCTCCACCAAGTTGTTTCATTTGGTTCTCCGCATTCTAAATTAAAGTAAAAATGATGCAACAGATACAACTTAACATCCGCTTCCAAAGTTTCAATGCAAAATTAGATGCTAGCTCCAAATCATGCTTAAAACATATAGGGGAAAAAATGAACGAATAGTAATTCAAAATGTCAAATTGATGCAAAAACTTAATCCCCAATCTCAATAAAAGCTTAAATCTTATCAGGTCAATTAAAGAATAAAAAAAAACAGCTAGTCAAATACCCAAAATAAGCTAAAAACAAGCATCACATGCAAGTAAAAGAAGCAATAAGTGAAACGAAAAACAAACGAACTCAACAGATGCAGAAAAGCATATTCATATATATTTGAAGCATCAAAAGACGTACCTCGAATACAAATCTATCGAGAAAGAAGCGAACAGAGGGGAAGAACAGAGCAAAGAGAGGAAGAACAATGTAATCTTCATAAGCAGGGTATGATTCATTCTCCCATTCAATTGATTTCACGTGGTCTATAAAACCCATCAGGATTTATTTTCCTTTCGGTTGATCCAAGGCTTTTCTCGAGAAAAAGATACAACTTTTTTTATAAATCACATATACGAGCAGAGAGAGAAACTTTGATGTTGGACTCTGTTTTCTTTCGAATTTTCATGTGAAAAATCCAACGCATACACAATATAATAATAGTCATAGTGTCCTCTCAACAAAAAAAAAGCAACAGTGCTAATTTCACTATTCATCCTTTAACTTAAATTTATTCTCGATATGGTCCTTTTATTTTAATTTGTAAGACAAATATCTCTAAAGTTAAGAGTAATATTTCAATTTAAGTTACTCTAATAAAATTTCCAAATAAAAGTTTATGTGTATTTCAATTCAACATAAAAATTTAGACTCTGTTTCCATCTTTCACCTTTTATAAGAATTTTACTCTATTTTAGGAGATTTTCAGTGCAATATATTTGCCATTTGCCATATAAATAAGTTTTAGAAATTTTTATCATAATTTCTTGGATTTATTTAGATTCTATTTGTTTTTAGAAAATAATATCTGAAAAATACTTTTTTTGATTGTTCAAAGTTTAAGGTACTTAGAAAAATCAATCAATAGTCAACATAACTATTTTTCTAATTAAAGGAAAAATTAAATCATTTCAAAATGACACAACTTCTCATTTTTAAAAGTGAAACATTTTTTTCAGACATTAATGTACTTACTGTAATTTTATAAACACACATTTAGTAGTCTCTTAATTAATGATAGCTACCATTACTGAGCAAAGGTTACTAGCAATGACTATAATTTATCATTTTCTTATGTTATTTCTCATATTTAATAATAAAAAGTTTTCAAATATAAAATTTTTATAATTGAAAATAATTTTATAAGTTTTTTTTTTTAATGTATCAATCTAATAATGGAAAATTAATTATTCAATAAAATTTTTTCAAAAAAAAAAAATGCTCCATAGAAAATATTTTCCAAAATCTTGAACCTTCTTATAATTTGTTTAGATTCAAGTTACTCTTCAAATAGCTATACATTAGGATTCATGTTTGAAGAGATAAAGAGAACTATGATTCAAATATAAAGAAACAAAGGAGACTTTAAACCTTTGTTTGGATGAGAATATTTGTTTGGAAATGTATTTTCTCTTGTTAGAGGTGAAAAAATTAATTTCAAGAAGTTTAAGGCCATTACCCTTAATTTTAAGAATTCAGAAATAGTTTTAAAAGAATGGATTTAATGAAATATTAAAAAAAGTTAATGGTATTTGTATTACAAATTAAAATAAAAAAGATGATGACCAAACTAAATATATAGAATTAGATGGTAGATGAAATTAGCATTTTATTATTATTATTATTATTTAAATATTTTTTTTCTCTTGATAGGATCTGGCAAAATTACTCCAATGGGCTTTTGTGGTTATTTGTACTCCTTTGTGAAAAGCCCAAAAACACATCTACTAGAATTACCCTAATTTTTTTTTCCACAAAAGGTTTGCAAGTGGACTGCAACAAGCATGTGATCCACAGTGTAGAGATAGAAAGAGGATTAGGATTTCCAAGTAGAATGGATTGGGTTTATATGGGCCTATTTTTTTCTGATTAGGGCACAAGTGAAAGTTTTACAAGCCCACTAGCAAAGGAATTCCCTTTTCCTTTTAGAATAAAAAATGAAAATGAGGAATTTCAATGGGGGAAAAAAAAATCTAGCTTCTGCAGATAAGATAAGGATTCAGAAATTTCCAATTTCTTTGACAAGAAAATATATTTTTTATTTTTTATATGGTGTGAATAATATAAAATGAGAGTCTTTTTCTTTTAATATTTTATTGAATTGATAAAATCTCCTTTATAATTTCAGATTTTAAGGATTTATTCACTTTTTTCATTGACCAAAAAATAAAAATAAGGGGTCCTCCCAATAAATTGCATCAGAATTTTTTTGGGAAACTTAATAGGATGACAATTACAATAAATGTCAGTTATGCAAAAAAAATGCAAAAAAAAAAAAAAAAAAAAAAAAAAAAAAAAAAAAAAAAAAAAAAAAAAAAAAAAAAAAAACATAATTTCACTCTCATACAAAGTTAGATAAAGATAGAGCATAATTACTGATATAGATTTCTTTGTGTTTTGCTGATCAACTTCAATCTATATCATGTTTGAATTATTAATAATTTAGACCTAATATTTTGTATGAAGTGAAACTTTCATCATTATGTCTGAAGTTCCATACACACACTTCTTGCAAGGTTTAATCACATCATGAGACATATTTTAACAGAAATGTCAAATCTTTACAGTGAATTCATTATACTGAATTAATGGCATTTTGTGAAAAAATACAACATATCATGTGATTATGATTATGCAAGACCTAATTTGTCAGACAATTATATGTCTATGTTAGACAAATTCAATTTCCCAGATTAAGAGTAGCCAACATGTCTTCCCACCTGCTCTCTCACTCAAATTGTTAAATCAAGATCATCAAACAATATTTGATATATTGATTGTCCCACAAACACATAGTAGAAATTGCTTTCATAGGAATAGCATCATTTCAGACAGACTTAACATAAATAACAATTAGCTATGAATAATTTTGTATAAAAATCATTTATCAAATTATGTAATTTGATTTTGTTAGTTGAATTTCATAAAATTGTATTCAAGGAAGTAAATAGAATATTTTCGTTCTCATTAATATAAAGATATGAAATTCAAACTAAAAAGAGTCTGATAATCAAAACAAAATTAGAATTTGATACAATGACTAACAAGTAAAATGACAGTAGTAGCCATTTTTCTCCATGATATCCTATATAAACTTTTTCCAGAAAAGCAATTTGAGCTAGAAAAGAACAAACTAGTAAATGATACTGGCTTTACTGTCTTATTAGAATTTTGGAAGTATATCTCAAAATGAAAATAAATGATGCAGATACTTAAATAAATCTTTAACTCAGTGCATGTGATGTAGTGGTTGAAAAGAAAACTTCCAAGGAAATATGTTCATAAATGGATCCCAACAACCAGAGCAGAGTCAAATCATAAACCCCAAAAGGACAGGCACTGAAAAAGCAAGTTCGATACAAGGGACCTACCCTTTTGTCTTTCATACCAAACGTTTTAATGCAAAAGGAAGCCTTGTTCACAATCAACTAACCAAATTTAAAGGGCACTGGGTAGACAACTTACCTGGTTAGGAGGGCACACACAACACAAGTGGCAACAAAATGAAAGAGGCCTGCCTCAAGTCACTTGTCAGTGCAAAGGACATGATAAGTTGCCAATAAATAAATATGGATAAGGCACAAAATGACCTATCCGATGATGGTCAAGTGATGTTGGAGCCTTTATGCGTAACACACTGCATTCCATAAGAAACTCATGTATAGTTAAAGGAAAATGACACAAGGAGTAGAACAATGTAAAGCAAAGCGGTGACAGTAACATAAGATACAACTAATAAACAGATAATCTAGCTTTGTATTTGTAGTGCTGCTTTGATTTTCTACTGCTCATGAATAAATTTTGTATTGTTGCTTTCAAATTTCCAAGATATCTCAAGTAAGACGAAAGACATAAAACAATTTTACATGGACTCAAAACAACAATAGGGACAATAGACCTCAAGCAAAATGATTTTTAGCCAACCTCATTCCATACAGCCGGACAAAATGCCGGAACTTAATTGGCTCCTCTGCAATTTTTCCCAGGAAAAGGTTGCCCTTTTATTGATGACAAGACAGAGAATTAAAGGTATGAATTAAAAGCATAATGTGCCTCTGTCCTAACCTATTAAAGAAATTGGGACAGGTTCTGGAGTAGGCCTCACCTGCACTGAAGCATTCAAAGCTGCTTTTGATTTATGAAATGCTCGGAGAAGTAAAGGCAGTGTTTTTCAAGTGGGACTGAAAGGTCAAATGACTGAGTGAACTACCCAGATTTGTCAATATTTAAGAACTCGGATTGTTGTCCTATTTTATCCAACAAGTTTCCCTTCTTTATCACCAGAGATAATAATGGTGCAAAGGATTGAAAAGTGGTGAAATTTCTCCAGCAATTCAATAATGAATGTTTCATGTGCAGTACAGAGGGATCTTTCTACCCCATAAGTGGGATGATGCTTTAGTTAATGACCAGAGAAACAGAGATATAAGTAAACCGCCAAAGGTAATATTAAACTCTATACCTTCTACCTAGTTCCTTGATACTTTTTTGTTTTTTCATACTTTACTATCCTATTCTGCTCTCTAGCTACAACAATGGACCCTTCACGGATCCTAGGATGTACAGAGGAATGTAGTGGTAGTAGGGACAATGAGTCTGGGTGGACAACTTACATTGCCTCTCGTACCCAACAAAACCACCACCATGATGATGGTGGTTATAATCTCAGCACTGGTAAGCAAGCAGATCACAGAAATGGCAATCATAGTAAAGACGATGATAGTGAGAGTGATGACTCGATGGCCTCAGATGCCTCTTCTGGCCCAAGCCATCAAGAATTTCAATGTACAAGCAATAAAAAAAGTGTCGGTTCCAAGCATGCAGCTATTAAATACTCATCAAGAGAAAAATTTCAGGAACAAATTAAACAAAGAGAAGAACCATGGCCAAGGACCAAACTAATAAAACAAGAATTGGTTCTTGATGCAAGAAGTGCTACTAGTCACATTCATGGTGGAACCAAGGTAAGTAAAACCAAGAAATGCTCCTAAGTTTTGATTTGTCCTAAAATACAGCCAAGTTTTGTGTCATAATGTTCCTTAGGTGACCAGAAACAGAACAAAGTCCATGCTTTCTTCACAAGTTTCAGAAATTAAATGTAATACTGGAATCTTAAAATATAAATGAGTGAGAAAGTCTTAGGCGGGCTTAGTTTTTGGTAGAGCACCATGCTCAGATTATTTGCGTTGTGGCCCAATAACATAGACCTATGAGACAGAGTGGCTTGCTAGTGTGTTCAATCATAAATCAAGTGTAGTTAAGAATTTACATCATGATAAGATTTTTTTTTTGTTTTTTCTTTTTCAATGGTTAGAGTCTGCAACACATTTTCTCTCTTCTAACCCTTTGCCCATTAAACAAGTATATGGAAAGACTTAATAGTCTAGGTACAGATAAGCTGCCTATACTGAGGTCAATAATACAGTAAAATATATAGGTTAATAGTTGCAGAATACACGGTCTCACAGAAATGGTGTAACTACTTAACCGCTTGATTCCCTGCAGATATGAGTTTTTGGACGAAGAAAATTTAGTAAAATGAACCAATGGGTCAATGGCACTTGAATAGATAAAGAAGGGAAGGTTATCGAATATTTTGACACCAACATTGCATAAAAATGAATCTACAGTCATAAATAAGCATGCAGCACACTTCATGCTACCTCGTTCAAAAGGATAATAAATGAAGGAAACATTTACTCAATAGTTATTCTAATGGGATAGAAATTAGGTACAGATCATTATTTTTCCTTCTAAAACAATATTCCTCTTGATCCTCCTTCACAATCAGCTTCTAAAACAGTGGAGTTAACATGACCATTTTGTCATTTTGGGTGGTGCATCAAGACCAGGAAAAAATATAGGATTAAGCAAGCATCGCAAATACCGTTACAAGCTATCAAGCCACATATTAGTATATAATTAAGAAAATTATCACAAGTTGAAACATGATTTAATTAGTTAGCACCCTAAATTCAGTAATATTTATATCAATTGATTATTCCATAGAGCAAATAGAGTTGTAAAACAACAGAACTGGTTCACACCAATAATTCTACTAAGGTAACAAGTCAGCATGCATGCATAATTGAGGAGTTGAAACTACAAAAGTATCACTAGCCTATTAAAAACATGGGGAATCCCCTTCATGTGGCTCAAATATGAGAATATGTAGCATAAAGCTCTAAAACTTAAGTAATCCAAAATAAATAAATAAATAAATAAATAAAAAGCAGCAGGAAAATGAAGCAGAAAAATAAGGAATATTATTTAATATATTAATACATTGGCCAACATGTGGTAAGTGGAGCAAAGTATATGTACGTGCTTAGCGTATAGGACGAAGAGCATGTAAGATTAATAAGTTGATAAAGCTGGCAGGATCTGCTTCTACAGTTTCAAAATGGCAACATCATGCCAAACAATTAAACATATTAATATGCCTTACCTTTATGAGATGATATCACCACAAGATAACAGCAACAAATACATTGTTTTAAGTCATAAAGGCCAAATGATTTGGTTCTTTAGAGATAAGTCACTAAGGTAGATTGCCAACAGCACCACAAGAAAGCTAAATTCAGATCTTTGACAATTTAGCTATCTTGAACCATTCAGTGTGAAAGGATCCTGGCACATCAGTTCTCTCATACGTATGTGCTCCAAAGTAATCCCGTTGAGCTTGAACTAAATTAGCAGGCAGCCTTTCCCTCCTATATGTGTCAAAATAAGCAAGGCTAGCTGACATACCGGGGGTGCTAATGCCTGAGTTGATAGCAAGATAGACAACTCTTCGCCAAGCTGACTGTCTCTCAATAATCTCCCTTGCAAACTCTGGATCTACAAGAAGATTTGGTAGATCTGGGTTTCTATCATATGCCTGCTTGATACGGTTCAAGAACACAGCACGAATAATGCAACCACCCTTCCAAATTCTTGCCAGCTCCCCAAGTTTCAAGTCCCATCCCTTTTCAGCACTCTTTGCACGAATCAAGTTCATTCCTTGAGCATAGCTACATATTTTAGAAGCATAAAGTGCTTGCCCCGCATCGCCAATCAACTTTTCCTTATTAACAACTTGATCAGCTAGGATGTCTCCAACACCACTTGATTTGAAAATCTTGGCAGCTTCAATCCTTTCTTCTTTCAAACCACTAAGAAATCTTCCATCCAAAGATGATGCTATAGTAGGAGCAGCTACTGATAACTCAGCAGCTTGCTGAACTGTCCATTTACCAGTACCTTTCATGCCAGTTTTATCCAAAACCTTGTCAACCAAGTACCCATCTCCCTTATCGTCCCTAATTCCAAAAATATCAGCTGTAATCTCAATCAAGAAACTCATAAGCTCCCCTTTGTTCCACTCAGAGAAAACCTGGCGTAATTCTTCATTGGTGAGCTTCCCAACTGATTTCAGCACATCATAAGCTTCTGCAATCAGCTGCATGTCGCCATATTCAATCCCATTGTGAACCATCTTGACAAAATTGCCAGATCCTCCTTTGCCAATATAAGTGACACACGGGCCACTATCACGAACCTGAGCTGCCACCTTAAGGAGGATGTCTTCTATGTATTTGTAGGCCTCAAAGGAACCTCCAGGCATTAAAGAAGGTCCATGCCGCGCACCCTCTTCACCACCTGAAACTCCCATTCCGAGATAAAGTAAACCCAGATCAGCCATGGCTTTCTCTCTCCTCTCCGTGTTCTCATACCACTCATTACCACCATCTATGATGCAGTCCCCTTTCTCCATATAAACTGACAAAGTCTTGATGGTTTGGTCAACAGGGGGTCCAGCCTTGACAAGCATGATTATCACACGTGGTTTTTGAATTGAATTAACAAAGGATTCAGGATCACGGAAGCCATATAAAGGAAGATCTCCCTCTTGTTTGGCTCGCGCAACTGTCTCATCAACTTTTGAAGCGGTCCGATTGTAAACAGAAATGGGGAATCCTTTCTCAGCAATGTTGAGGGCAAGATTTTGCCCCATAACCGCAAGACCAGCGAGCCCAATTCTTATTAAGGGAGCCATATCTAAATTTCCTGATCAAAATAAAAGATTTCAATTCAGTAGATGGCAAGTGCATGTTATTACTCCTAAAACGGGTATAGAAATGAAAACAAATATCTGATAGGAAAAAATGTAGGAAATCAATCATGAAATCTATCATAAGAGCAACCATAGAATAGACCACTATCTGCTTACATGAAGCCAAGACCAACAAATAATCACCAACTATGACTTATACAGTTTTAATGCATGTGAGAAGTTCAACAATAGACACTAAACAAATGCAATAACAGTAACAGGGAACTGATGCTTACAGCATAAGCATCTGATGTGTAAGGGAGCAAATTCTTCTTTTTTTTTTTTTTTCTTGAAGTAACCAGCAACATATATAAATGTGAATTTGAGACTATTTGATTTTTTTTTGTCCATGGGATCTTTACTCATTTCTCATCCTTCTAAGTTCTAATTCGGGTTCAAACACCAAAGGTTCTTGACTACCTCTATTATAGCAGGAAAAGGAAAAGAATTGGACAAGGTCATGACTCCAACAAAATGATTCGATTCTAAGGGATATAAAGCCGAGTAAATGACAATGTACAAACAATAAGATCTCACAATTATACAATTCACCGAAAGTGAAAGACAACAATGAAAAAACCGATAATGTAAAAGACTAAAAATGAAATCAAATTCTAATATCAACAAAAGAAAGGATAACATTTTTCAATTACATATGCTCCATTTAAATCAATCAAGTACCAGAGGAAAATCAAATACATTCTCAAGGCTTTAAAAAACAAAACCCAGATCATCAAATCCCAACACAAATTGAACCACACAGGCAAAGACAAAAACTTACAGAATTGTGAATATAGATTGAAAACGGAACAAACCCATAAAAATTGGAGACCTAGTTTGAAGTGTATTGCATTAAAGATCTCTGCTTGCTGATATACCGATGTGTCTTTATCGATTTTCAATTTTATGATCTTGCCGTTTTCGGTCTTTTAACTGATACAGACTGTGATTTGTGAAAGTGGGAGTTGGTGCCTGGTGGAGTGGTGGTTAATTGATTTCACATGAATGAAATACGAAAATACACTAGCCAACATAGAAAATCAGTATGCATTAGTTAATTTTTTCCTTCAATGTTTTAAGAAAGTGATACAGACTTTCTTGAGAAGTCTAGGATTTAATTATTTTCACACGGAAGATTTGGCCCTGCCTCTAATTACTTCGCATCCAATATTTTATCATCATTATGTAAAATCAAGAAAAGGTGAAATTTCAATTTACTTACTCATAAATTGTTAAAAATATTTTTCTAAAATTTAGTCAATTCTATATAAAGATTTCAAAATCTTTTTACAACTTATGAATCCTTCTAAATTTAATATCTATTTTTTCTTAGAGAAAATATCTAAATTTCACACTCAAATTTAATTTAAATGATTAAATCAAAATATTTTCGAACAATATTTTATTCAGTTGGGTATATGGATTTAGTCTGCTGACCTTGGTTTAATTTTAGATCTTCTAAGCTAAAAAAAATTACATAGGTTGATGATTTTCTTTTTCTCAATGACAATCAATTTATTTTGATAAAAACCAAATTACTTCCCAAAAAAACAGAAAAAAAAAATACCCCACCTTCCTTTAATAGATTTTGAAGCTCAGTAAAGTCTTTACCGTTAAAATGTTCCTTTGAGACACTTGAAAATTTCACTTTTAGAATGGTTGATTAGCAACGAAAATTACAAGACATTCATCAGAATTTTTGTTGAAATCTCTTTTTTCTCCTGCCTGGAGGATGAACATTTTGCTATTTAACCTTTCATACTTTTCAATGTTTAACTTCAGATGAGATGCATTTTCTCTATTAATTCTCAAGTCTTGATTTTCTTGATGGAATTCTCAAGTCTTGATTGGAAAAAAAAAAAAAAAAAAAAAAAAAAAAAAAAAAATCAGAATTTAAGTTTGAAGCCTCAGTAAAGTCGTTCTTTTCACCGCCTGTGTGTAAAATGTCTATCCATTTGATGTAACCAGCTTTGAAAATAATTTCAACTTTTAGATGAATGAGTGTTGATGTAGCAACGAAATTACAAGACATTCATACATAATTTTTGTTGAGAAATCTCTTATTAGTTCGATTCGGACCTAGCCTGTAGAGGATGAGAAGAACATATTTTGTCTCTATTTATAAATCGCGTTTCATATTGACACTTATCATGGAAGTTTTATTAATTATTATAAGCTACTCTATATACTAGAGAGAGTGCCCATTTTCTCGATTATTAAAAATCTTCTATAAGTCTTGATTTTCTTAGATGGAAAGTTCATCAGTCTTGAATATTTGTAAAATTATAATAGAAAAAAATAAGAAAAAAATATAAAATAAGATATATTGTTTAGTTGCTTGACGTCGTAATAATATAAATAATTAATATTTGAGGTTAACTTATTTTTCTATACATCTTGTTTCATTAAGCTTTTGCGTTGCATTCTTGAACAAATAAATATAAAACAAGTAAAATTATACATATATTATTTGCTACTAAAATTCCGTATTTAACGAACGTGTTAATACGAATTCACTTTTTGTCCTTGTTTCACTAGATAAAAAGTATTTTTACTCATTCCTCCCAGACACCATCCAAATTCGAGCCCAATACATTCCTAGACAGATAAACAGTGCTCGGCCTTCCATAACTACTTAGGCTTGCCTCCCGGCGCAAAATTTAGAAGATAACGGTAAAAATAAGCTAGACAGTTTCCAAGCCTAACACTCATGACTCATCACAATCAAAAAAACCAACCATTAACATCGACAACAACCCAGAAAGCTCCTTCCAATAGAACAAGAAAGAATGAAGAACAGACCAAATCCACAAAACAATGCTCCCTACGTGGCATAATCTCCAATCCCTCGGAACTGTTCATCCGCCACGCAGTAGCCAATGAAAACATTCCCTCTACTTTCCTCACAAATATGCTCCTACTTCCGTGTGAGTTCCAAAAAAAAAAAAAAAAAAAAAAAAAAAAAAAAGATATATTTAGTGTAGTGAATAAAAAATAAATTTGGTACCATCTGACAAATAAATATAAAAACAATAAAAAATTTAAAATTATGTAAATTACCATTCGATTCTTTGTTTCAGTAAATTTCCTTCCTTCAACCCAAATCAGCCATCATTCACAGCTATGAAGAACCAGTGCGGCCCCACTATATCCCGCGCAAAATTAGAAGATAACGGTAAAAATAACAGCCACAAGTTTCCAGCCTAACACTCATGACTCATCACAATCAAAAAACCACCATTAACATCGACAACACCCAGAAAGCTCCTTCAATAGAACAAGAAAGAAAAGAACAGAACCAAATCCACAAAACAATGCTCCTACGTGGCATAATCTCCAATCCTCTCCTTTCCCTCCACCTGAAAACATCCCTTCTTCCTCACAAATATGCCCCCACTGCATCCACCATGACTGTGACAAACAAATACTCCATCTCTGACGACGACCTCCAGTCCCGAGGCTTTCTTCTCCGTCGAACAATCTCAGACCTGAATCTAGACCATCTCAACTCTATCTTTGTAGCAGTTGGGTTCCCCAAGCGCGACCCTGAAAGGATCAAACTCGCTTTGGAGAACACAAACTCACTCCTTTGGATCGAGCACAAGAAGACTCAAAAGCCTGTCGCATTTGCTCGAGCGACAGGCGATAATGTTTTCAATGCCATTATTTGGGATGTGGTGGTTGATCCTTCATATCAAGGAATTGGATTAGGGAAGGCTGTGATGGAAAGACTGGTAGATGAACTGTTAGAGAAAGGGATAATTAATATTGCATTGTATTCAGAACCCCGAGTGCTCGGGTTTTATAGGCCTTTAGGGTTTGTAGCAGACCCGGATGGGATCCGAGGAATGGTGTACTCTAAAAAACAGAAAAAGAAGAAATAATGTATTTCAGATTTTTTTTTTCCTAAGCATTTTGCTATCTATTGCCTGCAAAATAAAAATTCTGAGCTCTGATAATGCATAAGAGAAAGATGTTTTATTGTCAAAAGAAAGAAAATAGATTTGACAATTTGGCAAAGAAGAAAAGCATCAAAATTTAAAAAGAAATCAACTTTGAATTTTTTTAATTGTTGTAAAGCAACAAGAAATACAACATTCCTCTTGGATACATACAATACAAGTGAGAGCTAGAACTGCCCTGCAATTTCAAAGAACTGGCTTTTTTTATTGAGGCACAATTGTCTGCAACTTTTCAGGCTTGAACACCTAAAACAATGCAAAAATATGCACAAAAATCAGTGTCTTTTTATCAATTTCTTGTTTTAAATTAATCATGTCAAGCTGTTAATCAGTAAGACTTAAGAGTGAGTATAAATACATCATTAAGAATCAGAAGAAAATGGACATAAATGGCCACGAAGAACAAATGAAACAATAAAATTCAAATGAGTTGTTTAGATTTTTCAAAATATGACTTCCCATTTTAAAAACGTAACAGTCATTTCCTTTAGAGATCAAACCAACTTTCCCTGTCACCACCCAAACATTTTTGTTGATTAATTTTCCCGAGTGCTACAAACATTGAAAATAATTTCTACAAAACAAATAGAGCCTCAAGGTAAAGATGATGACATTATTAAAATGGGCCATAAACATTGCCATTAGTGGACCTAAACCTCAATAATTAGTAAAGAAAATTATGCAATTGATCATAGAAATTCCTCCTCATAAATTTGTTGCAAAATATTATTCCAGTACAACAGGAATTTGTGTATCATGATTATTGGTAACATTGCAACTTAATCAAATTTGGAGGTTTGAACATCCAACTGAAATCAAATCAACTTGAATTTATATCCCAAAACAATTAAACAGCAAAAGGTAAAGAGAAAACCGAGAACCCTCCTAAATTCAGAGTCTCAAGAGACTAGTAAGCTAATTAACGAAGAATTAAAATTCCAAGAAAACAAAAACAAAGAGAGAAGAGAAAAAGTAGAAAGTACCTTCGCATGATTATATAAAATTCAAGAGAGGTCCTTGGCGTTGTGAAGGAAAGCAGCAGAGCAAAGAATGGAAGCAATGAAAGCGAAAATACCTAATCCGATCATTAAAGAAACTCCTGCCACTACCAAATCCATTAAGCACTGCAAACTAAATCCCATGAAAAGTACCATCTTGCAAACAATAGCAAAATTCTTGAAATGGGTTTTTCGATTTTGAGCTCAATTTTAAGAAATTAAAACCTTTCTTCCCCATTAGCAACTATATAAAACCCAGGACTTGGAGAGAGAAAGAGAAGCTAAAAACTCAAAACACGTTTCCCTTGTGATTTGAGAAGGCTTTTGGGCCTGTGACATGGATCCAATTGGGCCCTTCTTGAAGTTCAGCATAATTTATCAAAATAATTTTAAAATCCTTAAAGGGGTTGAAGAAGATTTGAAATGGGAAGATAATGGAAATGGCAGTAGATGGATAGATATGGAGGTGATGAAACCAATGAGTAATGACATCCGCAGAGAATTTTGTCCTGCACAGGTTTCTTGTTTGTGATTATTGGGGGATTTAATATTTCCTAGGCAATTAGTAGGACCATGTCTCCTCATCCACAGCTGGGTCTCAGCACTCACCATATTTTTCTTGGCTTGTTGGCTTGTTATCTTTATTCCTGGGACCAACTACATAACGCAAATGGTTATCCACAATTTGCTTAATATTATTTTGATTTTATTTATTTATTTATTTATTTTTTGCATCAGATAATTTATTTTGTATACAGAATACATTACAAATCAATATAAAGTAGTGCTATGATTCAAGCAGACTTCAATTACAATATTTCAAACACATCTTATGTTACATTAGGCGTTCATTATAACTATCTGATTGGGTAACCTATATCTTATAAAATCTAACTACATATAAACGCAAATGTTAAATTACTTATCCATTTGCCTTTAATATTATTTATGATTTTATTTATTTATTTAATTTATTTTTTTGCATTTAACAAGAATTATATTATTTATTATTTTGTGTGTATATCAGAATACATTAAAATCAATATAAAGTAGTCGCCGCTAATGATTGCTCAAGCAGACTTCAATTACAGACTATTTTCAATAGTCTTTCATTTACTTTATGATTTACATTTAGTGCGATTTACATTATATATATTATATTATATATATATATATAATTTTAATATTACTCATTTCCATATTAGGATTTGATGTATGTAATATAATATTTAGTAAGAAGTTCCTTGCTAACATTACTTGAAGCTTGCAGAATAATACGAATATGTCGGAGTATTGTAATTTGAATCAGCTCTCCCTTGATACTTCATTTTGCCTTCAATAATTTGGCCCAGCAACTTGTAATGAAGAAAAATATACCTTATGCTTTTCGATAAGCACAATATTATAAACATTTTTAATAGACAAGTGAAAACATAAAAAGCAGATTCATCAAGGGTTTGACTAAAAATAAAACACTAAAGTCTCAAGTATTAATTATTGGGAAATAAAATACCATATTCGTACCATTTGCTTGTTGTAAATATTTACTCAATTGCAACCTGCAATCTTGTTAGAATGAATGTATCAGTTGCTTCTAAACCATTTCCACCTAATAGTTTTTGCCTGCGCTTTCATTTTCAGAACTTGAATTTGAGTGAAACTCTTTATCATTAAACTAATGGGCTACTGGCAACTGTTTGATCAAATAGCAGCAACCAATTCGATATCGGCGAACGAGAGACTCGATGGCAGTTGTGCTACTTCTACTTAGTTAGTGCAGCATGCCTACTCCCTTCAGTGATTCAAATGAACTTGAAGAAGTACGTTTTTTTACAAATTTCAAAAACTCCTGCCCTCTCAACTGTAAGTCCATAAGGTGCAATACTGATCATTAAACATAATAATTATCACAGCAGCAGATAACAATGCAAAAACTGTCGTTTGTTTTGCCGCCTGCTTTTACTTGTGAGTGCCTACTGATATATGTGATGGGGTTACTTTACCCTGGAGTTTTTTGACATCGGTTTTCTCATCGGTAGCATTCGTGGTTCCTTAATTGGTCAACTACAACAGCAAATCAAGAAATCAGAAATGTTATCTTGGCCACTCTGAATATTATGATGTCTCAAGGTCATTAATTTTCTCCAATACATTTACATTATCTAACTACCTGAACTTGTTACCAAATTTTTCAACTGAGCTTGAGGTACATTTTAAGTATTTTCTTGTATTGTCGTTAGTTAAAAGGAAAAATAATTAACATTTTTGCTCCAATGAAAATGTTTAGCTTTTGTTTCTTCAGGCATACATGAATTCAAATAATTATTTTAATATCAATATGACAACATTTTAATAGGTACGTCTTCTTCCTACCTCTTTTTCTTTCACATTTATCTATATATAGTGATATATGCGAATTAGTGGAATAATTTTGTACGCGTTTGATCTGTAAATAGCATCTATCTGGTATCTGACTGAAAGTAAATTATAAGCCATAATACCCTTTGTTGTATATATATTTCGCTCTGCTCTTATCTGAGAGATCCTCAATTATTCTATTACATTCTTTGCGGTCTACTCAGATAGTGTTTAAGAGCCCGATCGTGAGTAATCTTGAGATTGAAAAATTTGTGTGATTGTATGTAATTCTATAACAAATTTCAAGAAATGTGCTCCGTTTAAATATTAGTGAGCTGTTTTACTAGATTTATTGATTTTGACATTAGACCTCAAAAAAAATTAAAACTCAATTTTCGTAAAATCACGTTTGGGCTAACTAATAGAGGTTAAATCTCATTTAGATGTTTGTAATATATTCAATTTTTGTATAGCATACAGAAGAACATATTTATTTGATACTCTAAAGCGTTGGAAAGGACCCTGTGTTTATGGAGTCGTTTTATCCAGATTATACACCCTGCATTTTTTTTGTGTTCATTGATCCTTTTTCTCATTTTGTTAAGGTATAACTCAAAGCTCCTCCATTGATTTTGAAAGAGAATATCTCAGCGCCAATACTTTACTTAATATTTTGCTAAAAATATTGTTTTTTCACAACAAAGTTTGTACGAAGTATATGAAATAATTGAATATATGTTAAAGTTGCGAGGTTCTAAAACTATGAGAAAAAGGTTGGCACCTAATTTTTCAATGTAAGAATGTAAAGAGGTGTGAAATTTAAAATAATAACTCCCTATAATGATTCTCACTTAAGATATGATATAATTAATTGAAGGAGAAAGTAATATTGTATATTATGAATATATCTATTATATGCTGTAGTGTGATATATGTAGAGATTATAGTAACTGGCTAATTTAATTATACTAATCAGATTTGATTAATAAAATCTCCAAGTCTGTGTTATATAAGGTTTATATTATTTCTCGATCTATTCATTACTCATCATGAAATTAGTATGTATAAACATAGTGGATAGAAAGTGGAGGAGAAGGAGAGGAGTGAGACCACGATTACTGGTTCTTTACATCATCCAAATTCTTTAATACCAACCTTCATCACTTTGTGAAACAGGCGATAGAATTGTTGACATTTGTTAACATCTGCACTCGATGAAGATTAAAGCTAACCAATTATAATATACATACAATACCTATTACCTCAATGCTGCGCGATTGCAGTTATAATAACAAGCTCCCTATGTATATTATAGACTTATATTTAATATAGTCAACAACAAAAGCAATTTGAAAGATCACAAACGCAACCAGCTACCCTTGGTGCATGTAAAGCATCTATCGATCTTCTCTCGAGGTTGATTTAATCCTTCCAAACACTCAACTATTACTGGTTTGTGCTCCCACCTATGATTTGATATGATAAATTTACATAAAGCAATTATATATAAAGCAAGAGACATGTAGTTTCTTGAGATGTAATTTAGCAAATTTTCAAGAGAAGAATTGCTTAGTATAAGCACTTCAATTACCTGAAGAATGGCCAATCTCCTGATAACTTGCTAATAGCATTTCAATTACTGTATATTTCGCAGTTTGAAATTTTTTCTGTTCGCATTATTGCCTGCAAAACCTGCACTAAAAGACCTAAATAATGTGGACTTTATCAGATTTCTTAATTTTATTGGCTGAGATAAGCATACACAAGGCAGGTTGATATTTGCTTTTTATATAAGATAGTACCATGCACCATGCATTTCAGTTTGTTCAAGAAATCAGCTAGCTCATCTTAGAATTATTTGATTTCGTATTAGATGTAGCAATAGAGAAGAGCACTACAGATTAGTTGGTGGTATTAGAGGAGAGGGCGCATTTGGAGAATAAAACATAAGTCCAATAAATGCACCTCATACAAGATTAGAAAATCTGAGTTAATAATACCTTTGAAGCACTTGAACAGCTAGACCTTGTGTGTAGTTTAGCTTTTCCAATTCAGTATAACTTATTAGAAGTGTAATGAATTGCTATTATTTGTTTTATTTGAGCACCATTAATAGCAATGCAAATAATTCACACCTATTAATGGTAGCTATGAGAACCATAAAAACCTTAACACGCCAGCCTTTTCTAGGAATGTAATTCCCATTGACATCATTTCAACACTCTTGATCTACTACGAATAACCTAAAATGTGCAAATAAACTATTTATGAAGCATAATTGAGATACAAATACAAGAATAAGTACCCAAACAATGCAAATAATGAAAGATGAATGACACAGAAGACAATTTTCATTTAAAAATGATTTCACACTTATTTATCTTATATTCCAACCTATTTATTTATTCGTCTATTAGCATAATATAGGATAATCAATAATCAGTTTAAAATATCAATATAATTCAAAAGGAACCTGCTTCAGTAGTTCTTACTGTCTAAATATGTTATAATGATAAATAATATCACTTACCTTGACATTTAATTTTATTTATGCAATATTTCATTAATTTTAAGCTCTAATTTTCAATTGAATTATAATGCTCTGCGTTTCAAAGTTCTATAATATATTCTATTGAAGTCTGTTATTATTATGAAAATAAACTTGAATGCAATTTCTCAAGCTTATCATTCACACATCAAAGAAAAGTTCATCTCGCTAATTTCTGATGCTTTCCCATACCTATTAACAGAAAGATATTAAATTCATGGCTTTAGAAACTTAGTCCACTACCTCCTGTCAAAATAAGGCAAATGTCGTTAAATAGTGGCCTCTTGCGCTCACTTCTAGCTTCAAGCAGGAGGCGGCCGGTTGATTTGCAAGCTGGCCCTTCAATACAACCATTATATGAGTTCTTATAATGATTTTAATAGTAAATAATGATCTGCGATATCTTTAAGCTTGCCTGACCAAGTCTCTAATAAGAGCCTCTGCATATTGCAGCCCAAACTAATAACACTATGGGATAATCTTCTATCTCTTTCCGACAGCAATATGATTCATATAATATATATTTTAAATACACATTCTAACCTTTGCATTATGTTGTTATTTTTAAAATTTTGTCTATAGCCAAAAGAAAGTGAAAACT